TTGAATGTTTTTTTTAATGGGTGCAGTTTGACTTACTATTTCAGTATCGTCTATTAAAGAAGATCCATCTGAATTTAAGTTACTGATACCTAATATGTGCTAATGGGGAGGGAGGGAGAAGAAAGGATTTTTAGTAATGGGAATTTGAAGCCCAATTGTTTAGCAATATACTCTGGTCAACCTCCTCACATTTTCATCGTGCTCAATTCTAAGTGAATTCATCACAATGATTTAACTGACCTGCCTTTTCATTCTCTCCTATCATCTCTAACTGTTATCCCACCAGCATATATCAGTAGCACAGGCAGGCTTGCCATTCCATTATCATCCATTAAAAAAAATGCTAATATCCTATTAATACAATTTACTTCTGCTATTTCCAAATCTTATTAAATAATTTTATACTCTTGCATTAGATGTTTATTTATTGTTTTTAAACTATGAAGATTAAGGTTTTTTTTAACCTGTACATCATCATCGTTGACATAACATTCTTTTGTGTACAAAGCAATTTTAAATTACACTTGTAAACAAATTAGAACCACTGTATATTATGTCATTTTGGGCTAACTAGGTGTTTTAATTAGAAACAAATGATCTATTGATGAAGAATAAACCTATTGCTATTATGAGATAATTTATTAAATAAAAATGTATTTACTAAATCATCATTATCATGGGATGATGGTTTAGTCATTCATCCACTTCATCACTGATCAGCTGATGCTGTTAACTGTCCATTGCTAAACATGAGCCTCCCTCTAAATAATTTAAGGATTTTTTACTTTTTAATTTACTAGTTTACTATTTTCTCTATTGATAAGTCTGAGGTGTATTATTCCCTTACTAATTTTCTGCACTAGATTATTTTTAATGTTAAGGTTAACTTTATTAATTTTGAAGTTTACAATTTATATTTTGTTTGTCTGAAGTTTTCACTCCTTTTTCGTTGTACCTTTCCGACCACTTGAGCAGCTTTAGAACTATGAGCATACACTTTGTCATTTTGCTTATTGCAGTGTTCTTCAATCGGGCATTTCACCTGCGTATCGCGACAGAAGGTGTTTTGATCGATCCACTCTCTTTAATTGTAAAGATTGAACTAGTATATGTCCAGGCTTTATATCGACTATAAGCACTGAGCTTTAGGTCTTGTTTTATAATACGCGACGGAGTCCTAGTGAGAATCTTCATTTCTCGCGATAAGATTTTTGCTTCCTAATGGGATTTCGACGAATTCTGGCTGTAACAGCATTAACAGCCTTTGTAGTTCTAACAGCACGCCGCCGTCCCGATTTTTTCTGGTCTTCGACAGAGAAGTGTTGTATCTGTTGAAAGTACGATGTACGAACATATTGCTGATACCAAGCTTTTGAAGTGTCTGGAATATGACCGACGGCTCCATACACACTTTGTGCAAGGCGATCATTGCAATCCTGTTTTCTTGAACATATTGTAGTTTGATAATAAACACGAAAAAATATGTGAAATGACGCGAAATCAAAAGAAGTTTTTTAAAATAATAAACGTGTTCCAAATTCAAAATAATTAAAAAGTTGAAAAAAAAAGAAAAGTTTTTATGCAACAGTATTTATCGCCAGACTATATAAATATTTGTGATATAAGGTGGAAATGCATGCATGTAGAATTCAGTGCTACAACTAGGTAAAATGGGTCGATTGTGGCTGTTTCGCTTAATAATATGGTCTAAATATTTAGCAGGGAGGAAAGGATTGTTAGTAATGGAAACTAGAGCCCATATCTCTCTATTACTAGTAACATACCCAACCAAGTTGACTGCCCCATGGTCCCACCTGGAAACCATTGTGCTGAATTCCAAGTGTAGTCATCACGATTGGCCAATCAATTAGATCGGCCTTTTTCATTCTCATCTGTCATCCATCACTGGTGCCCCACCGGCATATACCGTTAACGCAGGCGGGCTACTATTCCATTATCATCCGTTAAAAAAAATATCTAGCAGGTAAGAAATGCTTGAATTTCAACCAAATAGATTACAGAATTTTAGGCGGTTGCCTTTACAGAAAATGGCTAAATATTAAAAAAAATATAAACAATTTTTTTCAGAATGCATTGTACACACATAAACTTTAGGACTATATATTTTATCATGTAAAAAATTTGAAATGTTCGCACGACAATGTGCTGATAAAACACCGATAAATATCTACTCCCAATTAATGTACTCACATACAAACAGATTGATCTGCCGTATCGTGCACTTCTTATTTATTTAAGTTTTAGAAGTTTGATGAAAATTAAACGAGATTGGCAATAAACTTCGAATTTAAGTCTACCTTTAAATTCAAGTTACATATGAAATATCTAACTTATACATATATAAAGATTAAAAAAAGTAACTTTATATATAGACCTTAAAATTACAAATTACGCTTATAATGTATAAATCATGTAACTTAAGGTAACTGGGATTTGCTTCACGCCGCTTTATTACAAAAATTTCAAATTCCTGCTTCCGACATCTAATTAAATAATTAAAATAGTATTTGAAATTTTTGACGTAATATTTATTGAATTAATTGGAGCCCGCTTAATACGATTCTGTCTGGTGCCATCTCCTCCCCTACTTTTCCCCCAATTTAACTACATTGAAACGTAACGTAAAAGTCCCTAATCATGTATATTTTTTATTGTTCTACAAAAAGTAATGAAGATAAAACTTAAAACAAAAACTAACACAGATAATAAAATAGTGAATGAACTTTATACTTTTTCCGATGGACCAGCAGGTATTCTATACGGTCCCTGGAAATTGTATACATTACCTAGGCAAAGACATACACATTGTATGTGATATTTCACTTGTATTATACAATGTACATTGTATTATAATACGAATGAAATCGAATCGAAAGATGCTAAATCTTTTGAAAAAGTTATGCGAAATGAAACATTTTCAACGTAGAAACATTAGTTGAAAAACGACAAGAATTTTAAGTCTTCCATAGTAATGCAGTGCGGTCAACTTTTGAATATTGTAGTAGTATAATTTTTTTTTTTTTTTATTTTTGATTCCCTAAAAATTTGTAGTACCATTATGTTCTATAGTATGAGTAAGTTCTTAATTTTACGTATCGTTAAGGATTCTGATTTCATATTTTTTTATATAGGAGCCCTATTTCTAGCGTGTAGTGATTTTGGTAGATGACAATTTATTTATTACAATTTTAAAAAGAATTATTAGTACATTACTGCAGCGGCCAGCAACTGAGGCATTGATGGACGAACGTGCAAATGTGAATGAAATGAAAATGAATGAAAATGTGTGTGTGTGTGTGTGTAGCCGAGGCACACATACGTGAATCCATCAATGCCTAGTTGTGGCCAAGGCTTGTATAGTACTTTTCTCAAACAATGCGCGGAAATCAAAAACACAATTTTACTTTTTAAGTTCAATGACGAAAAATAAACAATAATAATTTTTCACGCGCCATAATATTCCTTTGTCAATTTTTTCAATAAACAGCTTTCTATTTGCAAGTCAGTTCGAAATTTAAATAAAACTTTTTATTAGTTACCTCCTTGGTAGCTATGTTTCGAAGTAAAAAGTCATTCCATTTTTAAATTACAGGACAGATATGAGTTTACATAGTAATTTATTTGGCCGCAAAACACGACAGATATGGATTTTCATACAACTTTTGTCAGCCGCTGCCCGCATTTATCTGGCCACTACGGCAATTTTGATTTATCTCTAAGAAGATTGTCAAAATAATGCTCACATTTCCAAGCATGTTTGAGAAAAAAATATTTATAATAAACTTATATACTCATCAAAATTGACATCGCTATATTCCTCAACTTGTTTTCATATTTTAGTACCCAACAAATAATTATAAAGTTTATCTGTTAGGAATTTTTTAAAGTGTAAAAACTTTAAATTTCTTTTAGTCTTTCTTTGAATTTGATATTTTTTTTCTTTTTTATGATCTCAGGAATTTAATTATTGCTCTAAAAAATTCCGTCTTGGTTTCCGGAAGGACTAGTTCATTTCTTCGTCTATTATTCTTCTTAAATTTCACTTTTTTTAATTTCACACTATATTTTCACGAATAGAAGATACCAGATACCAAAATTTCAGACTTGGTTCTACATTTTTTTTAGGAAATAAGTGACGAGCCTTGGAAAATTTTAGCATTGAATGTTTATATGATTTATGTTTTATCAAGTTAAATGCTATGTCAGAGAGAGACTGTACAAGTCTTCTGTTTGGTTGTCTCTGTCCCATTGTGTTTCTGCTGTGAACTAGTTGTATTTGCATGAATGTGTTTCTGTTTGAAGGGTGCGATATGCCAATGAAATTACAGGGTACAGAAGCGCCACACCTTAAAGGGTTTCGTGGACAACACGGTATAATCTATTATGTCCATGGTACTGTTCATGTCTATAGGCGACGGTCACCACTTTCTATCAAATAGGCTCTTGGCTTGTTTACAACTTTAAGTTGCATAAAATAATACCTACGAATATTTATAACAATTTATGTGAAGTTTTGCTATTTTTTTTTTATTACTATAGTGATAAACAAACATACGTCTCGTCTGATGGTTAACAGGGTTACCGTTTTAAGGCATGTCATGAAATTTACTATATAGCTTAACATACATTACTAAGGTGTAGAGTATAGTCTATATTATAATATTTGTAACTAAAAGTAATTACTTATTTAATAGGTACATATTTCAGTAATTAATTAACAGTTTAAATTTGGCACGTTTGTTATAGCATATAATTAATAATAGATAATGTCACCTTCTACCGTATTAGTTAACGCGTATACAGGAAGTAAGGCATAAATTGAAAATATAGAGCGAACCGAAGAAACTAATGGCGCCGACATCTATTTCTGTTTGTTGTGCAGTGAACAGCATCCGTCCCCAAGTCCCAGTCTTTGCATCCCATTCTAACCAATTAACTTATCTCGCTCGGTTCTCCCTATTCCCGCATATCTCCTTGGCGCACGGAGTACATACGACGAATCCCGAATCGTGTCCGAAGTCTCATCCTAAATTCAGAGTCAGACTGTTTTCGTGTATCGTAAAATTCTAACGCGAAGTCATTTGCAAACCATTAGCCAATTGTTTATTTACAATAATGTAGACTATTTAAAATAATAAATTAAGAGATACTTACTGAATGTGGTCTAAGTAACATAGTATGTGTTAATTGTAATTACTTAATGCGCAGTGATAATTGAAGTATAAATATACTTTTGTTATCTATAAAATACGTACAGAAAGTTCAAAGTGAAGTCAGTAGTGCTCCTTCAAACGTGTTGATGTAGTACACAAATAAGCGTAGGATTTTTTTTATTATGTATATGGATATATGACTATTGCTCGGTGATCAAAATAAATTTGAATATTGTCTGTGAAATGGCAACGTTACCAAGAATGCATAGTTCCAAACATGGGAATAGTATATCAGCTCCGTTTAGGTAAGTGACCTATTTTTTACTTTAAAAACCTAATATGTGTACTCAAAAGCATTGTTTTAAACAAATATGTCGATTTTTAATACCTATCTAAAATAATAATTCCATATTATATAAAGAAATTAATCGATTTTCAAATAACTGCTATAAAAATATATAGAAAGATAACCTCAAAAAAAATATCTGTATTTTATAAATAAAAAAGTCATATTCAATGCAGAATTGGATGAATAGAAACTATCTCTGATTAATACTATTAACATTCATACCGTGCGTTTGTTTACTTACAATTAGTGATGTCCGAGTCAGCTTTTTTGGTATTCGAATATTTTGGTATTCACTAAAAAAAGAATCGAATTCAGACTCAAGTCTGAAACTTGAATAATAAGTACTCGAATACTTATATGGACTTTTGAGTTCATCAAACTCAAGTATTTTTTTTTAATTTATTTCTAAAGCTTACTTTTATTGAAGAGTAGCTCTTTTCTCGCCCGCTACTTCGTATGCGTGGATTTCAGAAGTAGAAAAGCTATACATATATATATATATATATATATATATATATATATATATATATATATATATATATATATATATATATATATATATATATATATATTCGAACTTCGCATATTGAGTACTTATTCGAATTTCTGTATAGAGTATAAGATACATATTTGAGTCGGTATTCGAATCAGCCAGACACGGCACATCACTAATTGCAATACAATGCTCAAATGTATTTATTTCTGTAGACACATTAAATGCAGTTAAGAAAATCCTTATAGCAGTCTAGTGTAAAGAATGCAAAAACAGAACCCTCAATAGATGGCGCTTCGCTTGCTGAAATATAGAGCACGCCAATGCCAATTTCATGCATTCCAATAAATGTTTGAGTGTCAATTTATTTCTTCGTTTTATGCTTTGTATAGACTGTTTGATTACCGCGTATCAGTGTTTAGATCCATGTAAATAATATTGTAACTGCATTGCGTTTTATGTTATTTCTTTTATTTTCTTTGAGCGATAGTGTCTTATTATTTTCAGATTATCTATTATCGTTATCTTACATTTAATTCTACTTTTTCACTTTTATTTTACTCTGTGTCAAATATTTATTTTATTTTATATTTGGTGTAGGTAATTATCTGTGTCTAGTTCTATATTAGTAATATTGCAATTGTATTATGTTTTATGCTGTTTATGATTTTTTTTTACTTTTTATAACTATTTTACCTCTACCTATACCAACGACCAGAATCGTTGAATAAAATCAATATAAATGAGCTATTAAAATAATAAATTGTTAAAAATTAGTTATATATAAATTCAATGACCAATATTTGTATACAATTTGATGTGGCGATATATAATGGACATTTTTACAAAATGTAACATCTTATCGACAATGTTTCTGCAAATAAATTTCATTACGTTTCATGCCATAGAAAAAGTTTAGCTGTACGAGAAGAGTTTCTGCTCACTTTCAAGTTCATGTGTTTCAATAAATTATTTTTGTTTTTTTATGTCGCATAAAAAAGATAATATTATACTAGTAATACTTTAGCTACCGCTACAAATGTGCTCTTTCATTTCCTAAAACTAGACTGAAAGAGAATGTTCTTAGCATTAATCAAGTCTGCTTTTTCGTATATCCATATTATTGTAAGTGCTTAAAAATAAATAAATACATAGAAATTTATGTAAAGAATTTTTGACGCACGCTCTTCATCTACTAAAAGCTATCAGGTCCTTACAGTTTTTCAGTGCGAATTTTAATTATTGTTTCATACATAAAAACTAGTGACTTTCCTTTTTTGTTTGTTTTTCTTAAATAAATTATATAAAACTAAGTAACTACTCGGCTTAATTTTTTTCCGTAAGCATGAGAAAAACATTAAATAAAGTAATAAATATATTACTTTATTTAATGTTTTTCTCTCGATTTTTAATGAACACCAAAAGACAATTTATTGTCAAACATTATTCTCAAGTTCTTTACAACTCGTAAGATTTCTCAATAACTTTACTTGCATCTTCGTACATATGAATTTTAGAGCCATGTATTTATATTTACTTGCCGTAATTTTTGTGTAGTGTCGGAACGAACATACAAATAGATAATACTAAAATTGCCTCTATTGATCCTACACCTATATATTGACTTGAAAAGCGAATTTTCTCCTATATCACATCACAAATATCATCTAGTTACGATTATATTATTACATTAGTTATATTCGGATTTATATATGTTTTTATATTTAAATTTAAAATTATTTTAAATCATATTGAGAATTTTTATTAGTTATCCTTACTTCCTTAAGAGGATGGATGATTGAATATTTATTGTATTTTTACGCAAAAACTGCTAAACAAATCTGAATGAAATTAAGTACATGGATGGTTATATCCTGACTAGAAATATAGGATTAGGATAGTTTATATTATAAATGTGTTAGTAAGTCTATTGGTTTGCTTTTTTTATTATCTAACAAAACAATCCATTACAATTTAACTTATAAGCTACATTAATAAAATTACCCTAGATTTATACTGAATGGCTTTTTCGAATCTGCCATGTACATGATTACATTTCTGTCATTTATACATTACATATTTGTCACATCTTGCCGCTTTAACAACTCCAGTTATCGTTACGAAACTTGATATATGCTATTTGAGATTAAGAAAGACATAGGGTACTTTTTATTCAATAAATAGTGGTGACGTAAAAACTAGTTCTATTTAAATTCGAAACAATATTAAACTTGTTGAATGAATCGTACCGATGCTATCTAGATTGAGGTTTGATGTGTAATTATTATAATTTATTTTTACAGCACGAGCCCTAGAAAACTTCAGGAAATGACGCTCCCTACTCCTGACGGACATGGTAAATATATAGAATGATATTCGTACATAAACTTATTCAATGATTAAAAATATAAATTTTATTAAAAATATTTATACTATGCCTTTACTTTTTTTTCTAAAGTAATTCACATTTCAGATGTTACATCTACAAGCGGTGTAAGTATGAAGCAATATGAAGAACAACTCAATGGATTAAGAAAAGAAAATTTCCATTTAAAATTAAGGATATATTTCCTTGAAGAAAAACTAGGTAGCGGGTCCCCACCAGCTGTACAAGTAGGTATTACGAACCTCGCCATATAACTTAGATCTACACTTTCCGGATTTGAATATAACATACAGAGTTTACTTTTTCAGGGTCTATTGGAACATAATGTAAGACTACAGGTAGAAGTAGAGGAACTCAGAAGACAGCTTTCTGATAAACAAGAGCTTCTTGCTGCAGCCGCAGAAGCAATTGATGTCTTAGAACAACAGGTATGAATAATCTTTAAATAAAAAAAATATAATAACTTTCATATTATATTTCATAAACTTAAATGATTATCGTAAATGACTTGTAAATAGAACTTATAGTTTATATGTTTTTTATAATCTGAGGAATGAATATTTCTGGCATACTACAAGTTTTGCTTAAGGTACTAAAAGTAGTATTGGATGGACGATTCGTCTCGTCCATCGAGTATTTTCTAAGTGATTTTTATACAACTAAGTGTTGGGATCCTTTAAATTACACAGTTTTGGTAATTTCTATTTCAGCCGAGATTTCTATAGTTACTTAGTACTTATTAATGTACGTGAAACAAAATAAAAAAGCCAAAAATATAACGAACTAGATACAAATTCCCACACAAAAGTACGCCACAAATAAATAATTACTTATAATAGAACAGGACTTGTGGAGTTATTTATTAACCAACAATGTTTTACAGCCTTTTTTGTAGGACAACTTTGACCCATTTGGCTACTAATACCACTGGTTAGAAGTCTCTATGATCATGCATCTAAACTTTTTGTTTATATGTATATATAAAAGAAATTCAATGTTAGTATTTTATTTACATTATTAGACTTCCGTTTAGGTGCAAAACTTTTAGTATGCTTCATTTTTGTCTCACTTGTATTTGCAATAAATAAGTCATAGATGTAGGTAATATTTACAAAGAAATAGAATACTTTATAAAATAATTTATATAAGGAATTATTGCTTTTTAGGGTTCCATTTCAAACGATAGTGTGGAAGTATCAATAAACAATAACGACGTCTCAACAAAAAACGATATAAATTTACCAGAACAGGTATACAAATTAAATACACTTTTAAAATAAATAATAATTAATGAACTGAGAAATCTAGAAATTACATATTTTGGCTAATTTTTTGCTATATATTTTTGTTTTAAATTATCTTCCATAATAGAGCTGCAATCTAATGATATCTTTGGCTTTGACTCGTGTTTTTGGTTTTGTATGTAATATGTAATGTGCAACTAATGAAATTACGTTTACCCCCCACCTAATTTCATACTTCATTCATATTATGAAATTGGGGAATATATGAATGATATTTTTCTCATTCTCAACCATAAAGTCTACACAAAAATTATTTATAATACAATTGCAAAACAGTTTTAAAATTTACAATTTATGCCCATTTACATGCTATTTCATTTAGACTATTAGTATCATTTTGAAGTATTTACTACTTTTAGACCTAGCAAAGAGAATAACACTATATAACAGCTATTTTTTTTATACCACTGAGGTGGTAAACAATACGGCCCCCCACCTGATGGTAAGTGGTTACCGTAGCCTATGAACACCTACAATACCAGAGGTATTACGCGTGCTTTGCCGACTCTGTAGAAACCTCTTTGCCCCCCTTTTGAAGAACCCAATGCTGTAGGCTCTTGGGAAAACCTCGGCAGGAAACATCTCTGAAACGCGCTGTACGCGACCATTGAGGCTGTGGGATATAAGGATAAACTCCCTGTCAATGGCGAGCCGTACGATGGTAGAAAGTGACCGTGAGCATCATATTGAACAATTCCTCTAAGCACAATTCCGCTTGTAAGCCTGGAATCACCGACAATTCTCATAGCTCGTTGCAAACGAGTCGAAGGGTTCAAACTGGTATTTAGGTGCTCCCGTCCATAAGTGACAGCAATAGTCCATCCGACCCGGATTTGCGATTTGTAGAGCATTAATCGTTGATTCGGCGTGAAGTAATGCTTCGCTCTATTAATTCGAGGTGGCCATGGAATTGTATATCACTAGAGATGTCGACTAGGTGTGTAGGTACTATTTACCTGTAAAAGCTTTTACATCCCGTTAAGTCCCGATTGTGTATTTAAAATAAAGATAAAACTATTTTTCAGTTCTTTTGCAACATATGTAGATCGACGATAAATATGTAAATAAAACTATTCCAAATCGGCAACATTTATAGTTACTGAGATAAAACACTGTGACAGATGGACGGACAAGATCACACGATAAAAGATTCCTGTTGTACCAATTTAGTACGAGACCCTAAAAATGTACTCAGTAGGCTTTGTTAGATAGTTATAATAATTTTATTAGCTGCCAAGGCGTAATATTATGTGGATAATATTACGCCTTGGCAGCTAATAAAATTATTATCCTCGCTGTTAATGCGCAACTTTGTAATTCATGTATATTTTATGTTTAGACACCTGAAGAAAAGGTTTCGGTAGTTGACGACACATGCGCCGATTCAGAATCTGCTGGGTGAGTTGCAAGTACTTGTTCTAATTACAAATAGGTAATTTTAGATAAAAAAAATTACATTTCAATAAAATTAGTGTAAAATATATTACGTAAAAAAAATTTAACTTCAGTTGCTTATTGATCTCAAATATTAATAAATTTTTCTTCGATATGTTATATACGCCATCTTGTTATAGTTTTACGTTGTTTATATATGTAGATGTACGTATAAAACAAACAATAAATTAAATTCATAAAATTAATTACTTGCTTTTTTTTTACAGTGATTATCTTGCGGTAACTGTAAATAATGAAGATATGGTAAGTTACTTGCAATTATAAATTACAATAAATATCCTTGTATTTACTAAACTTCTATTCCATGTACAATTACTTTTATTTTTTAGGATGAACTTGTTAAATTGCGACGAGAAAATTTCAAAGCTCTTCAAATGATAAAAGGCTGCATGAAAAAAATCCAACAACAAGATAAGGAAATAAAAAAATTGAAACTGGTATGTCTTTTTCATATTTCTTTTAAAGTTATAAATCTAGCATGGTCATAGTTAACGTCAACAAAATTAAGTATTGTGTATGGTATTTATCATCTGTACTTAGTAAATATTTATATAATTATCATATCATATTATTGTAGAACAAAGAATTGGCTTACGCACATGTGAGTGACACTCAGTTGGAAAAATACGAAGAAATATTAAAATGTAAAGATGAACATATTAAGGATTTGGAAAGCAAAATAAGAGAATTACAGAAAAATATACAGAATGAAGATGACACCGGGTACTTGTTATTTTATATTTTATCTAAAATACAAAATTAATAATGATTATTTGTTTTTATTGTTACCATTTTTTATTTATAGACATATAATGCTGTTATTTGTATTTCAGAAATCTCCAACAATTACTTACACGACGTTTGCAAGGATTAGCATATTTTTTGGATAAATTGTTATCACACAAGTAAGTTTAACTCATAATGTTTGTTGAAAATACAAACTATGAATTACTAACTATAATATTTTTCTTTTTAAAGATGCGTACTTGGAGAAGACAAGAAAAAATTAGCTGAAAGTATATTAGAACAAAGTTTAGCCTTGCCTGTTGGTTTGAAATTAGATGAATCAATGGCTCCTGAAGAATTCACAATGGATGAAAGTAATCTTGATATATCGCAATCATTGAGGATTGAAGATTTAACAATAATGTTTGGTCATCATGTCACATGCAGTGACGAAAACAGATATTCCTCTCGAAAGCCTCTGAAACTTTTTCCACAAGCTGATGTTATATCTGAATCTGAATGCTGGTCAGAACCAGATAGGAATGTATCGCTCGCTAGAGTAGGACTCTGTGATACGGGAGTAGCTGCCAGAGAATCAACTTCAGAGAACAATAGATTTCGCTCGAGGCGTTCCAAATTGTCTTATGGGTCACGTTCCGATGATAATAAAACCACTAATGAATCTGCTTTACTCGACGAAATAAATCAACTAACACAACGAAATGAGTTATTAGAAGAAGAAAATAATGATTTAAACAATAAGTTGGAATTTGCAAAAAAACAAATCGGTGAACTTATAACAGAAAAAGATGAATTAAAAGAAAGTTTAATCAGTGAACGTACAAATACTGGTGACTTAAATAAAAAATTAGAAATAACAAACAACACTTTGATGAGTATGGAATTAAGGATAAAAGATCTAGAACAGCAGTATAATGAAGCTGTACAATTAAATGAAAAATTACGAGTGGAGAGACAGGAATTAGAATCAACCTATTTAGAAACGGAAAGAGCATTAAGACGTGCTGCTGATGAAGCGACGGTTCAAGCTTCTCAGGCCGCTTTAGAGAGAGCACGCGCTCAACATGATCGATTACGTATTGAACGTGAATTGGAGGAGACACGTGAGAAATTAGCTAATACGCTGGAAGTTAATGCTCAATTAGAAATAGAAGCCACACGCAAAATAGCTCTAGAAGCTGATAATAAGATTGAAATTGTGCATGAAGTTCTTCACTCAGAAGAAGACCGGCCTACGTCTCCCGACTTAGGAATCGATAGCGACAGACTATCAAGCCTTGAGCAAAATGATGCTGTTACGTTATCACCGCGTACGTATATGAAATGTAAACAATTACTTTTTATAGTTCTACTAATAATTCTATTAATAATACGATATTTTCTTTCAGGTTCCTTATACGAAGAAAACCAGACATTGAAACAAAAACTTGCAAGAACTAAAGCAACACTAGCAGAAACTTTAGCACAATTAAATGCTGCTAATTTGAGAAAAAGGAGTGTCCAGCGCGCAATTTGTAGAGAAATACATAAAACACATGGTGTGCTACGAAAAGCACGAGATCAATTTGAAAGCCAAAATTAAACTTTGTACTTAATACAATCTAATTTGCAGAATTACATTTGTGAAAGAATTTACTAAATACCCAATAGACATATACATCTTGACATGTTCTGTGATTTTAGTGTTTTGTGTTAAGTTATAAGATAGGATGGTATTTTATGTCTATTATGTAATATAAATATAATATTAACTTTTTTTCTAATACAGCAAAAGATTGTGAGCACTTTAAGGTTTAATCTTAGACCACTAATCACACGAACAGTAGATCGTCTATCGACAGGAAAATGTACCATTTTATGCGAGTACGCTAGTAATGAAAATTATTATTAATATTTTTATAATTTTACGTCACTGACGTTATGACATGATATCTTGATCATAACGACAGTGATGCAAAATACTGGGCATTAACCGATAGCTACCTATTAATTACTTCTAGAATCTAATTCTTATATTTTTTATTTATATATCAATCAAAATAAAGTATTGTGTTCACTATATATATGTACATATATTAGGCAGACCTAAATTTCAATATCGTACACAGGTGACTACAAAGATATGAATACCTTAAACTGCCTTATGACAATATTGATGTTACAAATTCAATTCCTATTTTGATTTAATAAGGCTATTAAGATTTATACATATTTTTTATGTCGACTGTAGGTACTACACGATAAAGCCACTTAAACATTATTAAAGACATTTAAAGACATTATTAACAATAATGCATGTTATTATGTTGCAAAATATCCTTAATATTTTGCGACGTAACATGCATTATTGTTAATAATGTCACGTTAATACTTCAAAATAATGCGTTATATGCAAAATACCTATATACAAAATAAAAAGCAATCACGATAAATTTTATATGAGACCGAACCAGGAGGAAAATCTATAATAACATTACAATAAAAATTAAAATCTTATTTGTATAAAAAAAATATTTGAAACTTCTGTTGCGATACAACAAAGAAAGGTGTGCATACATAAAATTTGTTACTTTAAAATTAGCTTGTTTCTTGTTGTTATATTTAAAATATCTGTATATTTTAAATATACTATCAGGACTTAACACAATGAAAAAACCAACATTACAATTACAATTACAAATACCTACATACATACCTGTTTTTTATTGCCGACTTTTAGATATGGATTACACCACGTTGACTTTTTTAAATTGCTTTATTTCCCTATAGCGTATTTAAAATATACAAAATTATAATTTATAAATTACATTATTGGCATGTTAGTGTTTGCATTTTATACTTCTTATTTTACATTTGCATGTTACGTTGCATATTTGTATGCCCCGTGAGACTTAAACAAGGACAAAAGAAGTAAAGCTTGTATGTAAGTATAATATGTTTGAATTATTTATCTTGCTTTATGGAGTATTCTGAATTTTATTTAATAATAAATGTAAAATTAAATCCACGTTGTATAATTTTTTATCCGAAATTTTAAACAGTTATTTAAAAATAAGGTATTTGTTGTGAAACGAACAGAACCCGTTGATACTAATCATAAACTATTTTTAATCGGTTATAAGGTTCAGAACTGTTACGCGCATATTTATATTACAACTAGTGTAATTCTTTTTTTTGTTGGAATTTACTTTGTTCTTGAATTTATGCGTAAAATATAGGTGAAAGGGAAAAAGGGTTCCTCTAACGTTCCCACAAAAGGGAAATTAAAAAATTTCGCTAAATATCCTCTTTGGTTTTTTTTAATGACTTAATATAAAATTTATGGAATGGGTTTTCCTCGCTATCGATATATGCAGGGACGCCAGTGAGGGATGAAAGAAGATTTGTTATCCCATCGTGACGAATTTCTTAAAAGTTAATCATGTTGGTTTGCAGGGAGGACCGCGTCTAATCCGGACTGTATCGATCTGTATATTATTAGTATTGGGGCTGTAAAATTCCATTATTAACAATCCCTTTTTCCTCTAATAATGGGGATATGCCACATCATAATCCCTTAACCTTAAAACATTGTTACCGTTTTGGGTTCTTTTTTTTTTTAACCATAATTATCAAGATATTTTTACGTTAAAGTTAAATATTTCGTAATTTCCTACATCTTGGTAGAAAGTGTTATATTTCTTGTTTCCTGTTTTAACCGCCAAAAAAATTCAGAAATTCGGTGACAAATAATTGATATTTGAAAAAAAAAAATACTTATATTCCAATACAAGTAATATTAATAAAGTACTTTACAAAGTGCTTATACTAAAAAAATTTGTACTGTACAAAGTGCTTATACTAAAAAATATTGATTTACAAAAATTAATTTCGCGTTATCTGTTCTATTCATATTACGTAAATTTGTTTCTATTTACGAGTTCATTGACTATAAAAAAAAAACTAAAAAAAAAAACAAATAAATAATGAAAAAGTAAACCGCTCCAGACCGCTGAAAAAAAAATTATTGATACAAAACGATATAGACCATAGGGAAATATTGGTTTAATTCAACTAAAAATAACGATACATTGGTATTATTACAGACAATAGTAGTTAGGGAATGTCACAATCTTAAGTCAATAATAGAAAAACAAACCAGTATTTGTAAAGAGTTTCGTATACTACAATTATGGTGCGAAAAAGGCCTATAATAGCGTAGTAGATATTACTTAGAAAAATATGGCAGGAGATAACTGATAGATAGCGTAACTGAAAAATGTTTCGTTGAATAATAATTTTAAACATGTTTGTTATAATTGTAGTGTGCTTTAATTTTACTTTTAAAAAATTATTTTCAAGTTACGAGCCTCTTATACATGATGCTGGTAGAAATGATCGTGAAAATAGCGACCGATTGCCATTGGGAAAAAAAGTAGATATTACTTTTTCAGCACTTTGAATATATACTGTTTATTGAATTGGTTCCATGAAATCTATGCAAGCAGTTCATTAAATTACAAAATTTTACGCTATTAAGTACCGTCTTTTTGTCATACCTATGGTACTTTTATAATACTGTGACTACAGGTTTATTTTTTTGTTTTAATACTGATAAAATATTATTGTTAAAAAACGGAACAGTAATTTTATTACTGATCACGTAGATGGCACTCTTAGGGACTACTCACACTTATGAATAAGTGAATAAGCTGAAGCTCTGTTCAGCTTTTGTCCATAGAAAACAACGATTTTGTATGGAGACGTGTACGCATTCATTCAACTTTCCGCGTCTATTCTGCTTTCGCGGCAACTCTGTATAAAATGATAAATGTGTATTTATCATGCAAATGCTATAGAGAGCTTTCAGCGCTGTTCCGCCGCATTCACCGTCGAACGCGGCGAAACAGCTCTTTACAGCGATGTTTCGCGACTCCTTGTCGACAAGTTGCAACCTGTATTCTTTCTGCGTTGATTTGATTTATTATTGCGTAATCATTATGTACGCAGGGATTAAAGAGTGCAGACATATTTTATAGTAATTATAATTATATTTACGAAATGTAGAATATTCAACGCCGTACGCAATAGACACGTGTTTCAGCAGAGATAGCACGCTATGATAGCTTTTCTCATTCTTACGACGCCGTACGCGGCTGATAGAAGCAGAGCTGTGTAAGTGTTACTAAAATCGTTCAGCGAAACGCGAATGGAGTTGACTAAGTATGAGTAGTCCCTTATAGTTAAAATTTATTTCTAAAATAAACATTACTTATATTTATACCTACACACAGAAGTTTTCCAAAAATGGAGGATATACTTCTATATAGTTGCCCTATATAGACAAAATATCTCCTACAAATGCTTCGTTAAGAACAGATAAACTTGATAAAATTTCATGCTGCGAGAATAGGGTTACCATAATGTACATTTATTATTAGGTATTTGGAGGAAAATATATTGTTAGGTTCATTTGAAAAATAAAAACGAACAATTGAAAATTGCTTAATCTATAAAATTTAGATGGTTGCATAGATTTTAACAATATAAAGATAGCGCTGACTTTTAAGTATTGTAGCGTAGTAATTTATTTGCATTTGGATTTTTTTTTAATGATACGCTAATCCAGTGCATTCTTTAGGCAGACGGTTGTCCTAATTATTTTTTAAAAAGTATTTATTCATATTTAGTTACAAAAATTTTAAAATTTACAAGAATGAGTTTTCATTTAAATATTGTAAATCCAAATTTCGATACTCTAGGCTATATAACAGCTATTGCGAATGTCAAAGATAAACATGATAAGTCAGCTCCATCTGATTATCATTGGAAAATTCTTAAATGCAGGTAGGTTTGTAGGTATATTGTATTAAGTATTAAAAGGATTGTCAGTATTAGTAACTAACAGCCTCATTGTAACACAAATACCTTTCCACCATATTAGGGGCTCAATGCTATCTAATGATAGTATTAGTAACTAACAGCCTGTATAACCCAGTGATTCTCAACCTTTTTTTGTTGCGGCTATAACCCAGTGATTCTCAACCTTTTTTTTTTGTTGCGGCACATATTTAACGATTTCAAAATTTGGCGGCACACAAAGAAAAAGATAAAAATTATTTACTTACTACAACACACTGCATAAATAGTTTATGACAAAAATTTTAAATATTTGCAAAATTTAGCGGCACACTTTTAAAATTTGGCGGCACACAAAAGTGCCGCGGCACAGTGGTTGAGAATCACTGGTATAACCTATCAGATTAACCTTTTCGCGATTGTTCTGGAAACTATTCTAATTATTTCTTGTGGAATTCGTTACGACGAGCTAACTGGTCTATTTTCATTCTCACATATCATCTCATTTGTGCCACGCTGGTATACACTGATAGCTTAGATATGGGGATAGTATTTCACTTTCACCTATTAAAAAATGTATTGAAGATATCTAGATGCACACAACCGTCAATGTTCTACATTTGAATAGTCCATTAAATTGCGGCTGGCGATGGTGCAACACCTGTCAGAAATTATGATAAATGAAAAGTAGAAGAATGTTAATATAAAGCTAGGTGTCTTAGATTATATAGATAGAGCATCGAAACTCAAAAATAGGTCAACCTTTTGTCAGCTAATTGTCAGATTAGCCAACTTGTTTTTTTAATCAGTAGGTATTCGACGCAGTATTTATACGCATAAAATGTATCGTTACGTTTAATAAATAAAATAAGTGCAATAAAAAGATGCAGAATTCATACGACAAAATAAATATAGAAGTTATAAAAGATTCACTCATAACTATTTATCATGCAAAATTATGAAAAAGTTGACTCGTTTTGGTAGCTTGCTAAGTAACTAATATTAAGTATTTAAATTATAATGAAACTAGTATTTAAGTACTCATTATATATGAATTATTTTCTTTTGTCACACAGAATTATTATATTTTCAAATTCATCTATATTGGCAAGTCCAGATAAGAAAAACTTGAAATTTCGGACTGTTAGTGGCTCAAGAATTTAAATATATACGGCCATGTGCGAACGAGGTGTTATGAAGAAATTTTAAAGTATCTACCAAGTCCATATTATCTTCAACAAAACAGGCGATGACTATGATAAAATTAATTCATTATTCTTGAAATTCTCTCTTGTACAGGTAAATAAAATCTTATTGACTAATAGCAAGTTGAGACAGCAGTCAAGTTAGGTACAGAGGTATATTTTTACGACTAAGTGTTGGAAAGGCATGTTGGGTTTCTTAGAATCCTGTACCCCGGGTATCCAAACACTACATTATTATCACTATAAATAAATCGCTTTGACCAAATAATAATGAGCTGGTATGAATAGATTGAGGAATATGTAGAAAGCGGCATGTATCATTAGATGTTATAATAGTTTCTGTCCATCCAAGCGATTAGTGGTACATACAAGAACAAATGTTCGGCAATTAGGTATTTTTACGGTTTGGAATAGCAAAGAAACTGGAGGATAGAGCTGACTTAACGAAAAGATAGCGGTAACTGTTAGTTTGCTTGCCATTTTTAACCTTTCATAATCTTTTCAGTAAAAGTTGGATTATTTATGAATCTACCGCCCTATTCGAAACACAATTTCAGGTGAGAAGAACTGGCAAGATACTGAGATTACATAAACTTCAGATAAAACTACAATTTATCGCAGTATTATTTCCAAGCATACCCTATATATAAAACCAATCCCTACACTAAGAATATTGTATTTCACAACTTTTTAAATAACAGCAGGAAGGATTTTATTTATTACGAATTTTATTTATTTGTTTATTTCTATTTCGAAGGATGGTACTATAAAAAAAATTACGCCAGATATATTTGAAATGTGTTTTCAATATACAATGACGGCCAAAATTGCACCAATATGGAATACAGTCGGCACCAATTACCTCATTAATAATAGAGATTTCCTTATAACCAAAGGGCCTCAAGTTGGAATTCATTATCAAATAGCATCTAACGGTGAGTATTTATTATTATTATACCAGCCGTTAACTGTCCAGTGCTGGACATATGCCTCCCCCATAAGGGGATGTTGCCAATAGTTGCCACGCTTAGCAGGCGAATTGGCAACCGCAGTTGGGCTTTGGTGATGTTTTAAGAGGGACACTGCTGCCTATTCTTCGAATATTAAATTTCCTTAGTCTCCTCTCACGACGCCCGCGGAACAGAATGGAGTGTCCTATACCATACCGGGACCACACGACAATGGCGAATACATAGATACTAAAATATATCAACGGCTGAAATAAATATGTTACCGAAACTAAAACACATTATTCTATTACTAAAGAACCATCCTAGCTTTTATTTTTAATAAAATTCTACCTATGTATATAGCATAATGTAACTTTTATAATGACTTTTTTAATCAGTTACGTATTTTTCGAGTTTATCCATTAAAAAAAGAATCAAATCTTACTTCTTTCTAAAAAGTTTATAATATACATATCTACTAATCATGCGTTTGTGAACAATATATATTTATCATGTTTGTCTAAAATTTACGTCTCTGTATGTGATTTCAATCGTTACAAAATTAACACAGGATTACCTAAACCATACTGATTGCAAAAAGAATTACAAAAAAAAAGCCAGAATGAGCAACAATATTATGTAACATACAAAAAAATTGTCTTAAAAGCAGACACCGAACTGTAGAAAAATAATTAAATTTTTATTGAATTACAATCTTCGTCTATTACTATTTTAGTATCAAATACAAAAAATGTTACGAAAATCTACTGTAAGCAGGTACCTACCTACTTAAATTTAAAGTTATTTATGGTACTTTTGTATGGGAACTTGAAATTTGAATTTTATATTAGTGTCGTTAGATCATTGACTTAGTACGTAGGAGGTAACCTATGACAGGGATTCTTCTGCTTATGTTATGACATTCCTATTGTAAGGCTTTATGATTGTTCGAATTTATCGAAATATAATGTTTTAGATCATACTACATATATTGAAGTAAAACCTGTAAAAATCATTATTATTCTCGAAGTAAATAGAGAAATTATACCTGGAGAATATGTCAGAGTATTACCAAGGTAAATCTATCTAAAATATTATTTCCCAATAATAATTTATAGTAGCTAAATGGTATACTGGTCCGATTTATAGACAGTAAAGTAGTAAGATATAATTTGGCCAACATCAAAAACTTTGTATGTCAATTTAAATTTCCGATTAATTCTTCGATAAGGATACATCGTTAACTAAATTAATTTAACTGATAGCGTCGGTGATAAGCTCGCCGTCTACCACGTTGAATTCTAAAATATGTTCAGCAAAATTTGAGCATATGAAGTGTTATCTACTTAGACCTTACTTTTACTGCCTGACTGATTATCCCATCAATGCTTATAGTAGTGAGCTTTTTGTGTATAAATTATAGGTAGTTATAGTAATAGTTATAAATAACATATTTTCGGATATTTTATTACAGCTTAAATAAAGCTATAGTAGAAGAAAGTCATGATTCATTTCCCGTAATATACGCATTCAAATCTTATAAAGATTTACGTCGTCACTGGAAGAATATTGTAAGTTTTATTACAGAAAATAACATTAATTTATTAAAATTTATATAATATGCAACCAGTTAAGAGAGATAAAAACATGTATAAAGCAGTACTATTTACTTACACCTATGGCGAGGTATTATTAGAGAGTAATGATGGGTTAAGATGAAGCTTTTTTCCTTGATGGATGAAGATGGAATGGTTAACCCGCCCGCGCTATCGGTATACGCTGGCGGAGCACCAATGAGAGATGATAAATAAGAATGATCGCAGGTTAATTAACTCATCCTGACAAAATAAACAAAAATTAATCACTATGATTTCCAGGGGGAACCGCGTGGAGGGCGACCTGATTAAATATATTGCTAGCAATGGGGTTACTAGACACTATTACTAACAATCTTTTTCCCCCTAGAAGGGAATTAGATCAGTTGATATAGTGACAAATTCACTACGAATTATCGACGATGCGAGATTATGTTGAGATTGATCTCTTAGGGTAATAAACTAATAAACCCCACTATACTTACTGTCTACAATTGTATAAATTTGATTTTGCCAATGTACCTGTAATAAATTATTAAAATGCTTCATACACATGTCAACAGCATGGCTATCGATTACCCGAACAAGATTGTTCATCATATTACGTAATAAGATTTTGGCGAGGAGATCCGTTAACTTATCCAAGTATATGTGTGACCAGGAATTTACCTATCATTACACCAATTCCTAAATATTATGGGGTATGATTTTAATTAGATGTTTACCACCATAGATTCACATTCTGTAGTTAGTTACTTATATAATAAAACTGTAGTGGTCGAATGTCTGTACATAGAAAGAAAACGCTAAAAACCAAGTCAGGGGGATCTTAAAAGTAAAATAGAACACATCCAATGTTTTAAGTTTTTTGTTTCTCTGTCTGTTTGTACAAGCTAATCTCTGAAACTGTTAGATCGATTTAAACGAAATTTTGCATTGTGGTACCTTACAATCGCCTGTCAACATTTTCGACTTTTAATGACGTAAAATTAAAGAGTTTCCGTGGGATAATTAAAAAGCTTTTGTAACTTATACAGCTTAGTACACAACCTACTTAAGTCATTTTTTCCTAAGGCAAAGAGTGAAAACGACGCATCACTTGTTAATTTTAGTCCAGTATGCCCAGACATAATAAATAGGTAGGTACGTACATCGTTACATTCTAAACAGGAATAACAAATATCATGCGGACAAAACCGCGGGCATTAGCTAGTACTTACTAAAGCCCGTTCCAGCAGGGCACCGCTGGCTAAGCAAGGCGAAACTCAAAAAGGCGAGTTCATGTGCCTTAATATTGCCATTTCTTATATGGAGCAGCGAAATAGGTTAAAACCTGATACCTGTACCACTATATTTGTAATTATGTTATTTAAGCACACTTAATCACACAAATTTAAACACGGGGATCGATGCTTAGGTGCCATTTTTCTAAACCTATCACTTAACCTAATATTTTCGCGGAATTACTGTTTTATGGACCATATATTGGAATTTAATTTTATATTGATCCTTTGAATAAAGATTGCGTAAATTGAACTTTTAATTCTAGAAGTAGGTTTAAAAAAATGGCGCTTTAGAATCAACTCCATGTTGTGTTTGCATGACTGTGTTTCGGTTTGAAGGGTGGAATATAGCAGTGAATTTACAGGGTACAGAGGAATAACACCTCAGGAATGGCAACGCATGGCAGTGGCACGCAACTACATGGACATAATAGTATACTCTGTTATGTCCATGTTACTGCTCATTTCTATAGGCGACGGTTACCACTTTCCATTAGGTGGGCCGTCAGCTTGTTTGCCATTTTAAGTTGCATAAAAAAAATTCTATTGTTGGTCCAGACACTTCTAAAATGTATAATATCATTCTAGTGAAATATAAATGACGTCGCTAGACCTATCATAGATAATCATAGATAATTTAGACATATTATCTATGATTAATTAATAATAGATAGTTATTCCTTAAATTTATACCTAAACCCATTTTTATATAGGTAAATTAAAACCGACTGCAGTAGTAATTAATAAACATATGTAGGTACTTTTGATTATATCTGGAGGTCATGTCATGCCCCAAGAAATCAAAGTAGCAGAGTACAAGGTTTATATGGCGTCAAAAATTTATTGTTAAAAATAGTCTTTTTTATTAAGTATCCTGTCATATTTACTAAATTTGACAAAATAATAAAAAATACATAATATGTAACACATATCTACTTATTTATTATTTTAAGTTCTCCAATTTTATTAATTTATATATATTTTCTTCATTTTTAGTACTAGATTTAGAAATTGTGTTGCCGATAGATATTACTATAATTTGCTTTCTTGGTAGCAAAATTTTAAATCTTATAGAACTCTTGGGAAGCAATATTTACTATTATTCAGTAGGTACTCGTACCTATAATTTAAATTTTAAATAAGATTTTATTATTTAAACGTATAAAAATACAATTTAAAGGAAGCTGTCATGTCCAAGTTTATAAGAGATTTGAAGAATAAGATGTCTCATATTCTCAGGATGCCACTCATAATTCAAGAAACTAAGAATTGCGGCGCCAGTACTTTACAAGTAAAAAAAATTAACTTTTTAAAATGATGTAGGCATAACTATTAATTTTTTATTACCACAGGCCTTAGAAGTTTGGATAGGTATAAAAAAGCAGAAACTGCGTTTACATACTATATAAACAACAAACTATGCATATAGCGTCATAGCTAAATATTCAAAACAGCCTTTATAAGGACACTACATACAATATACATAACACATACCATATATATAAATACAGTAAACACTCTATAAGCAACTCAATTGAAGCAATTTCAATTAAAAAAAAATCTTATTAGGAAAAGTTGCTTACAAGGAAAAAAAGAGTATAAAAATACTTACCGTCTGGAAAATATTTTTTACTTATTTCTTTTACTAACTAAGCTGAGTAGAACAAATAAAATATAAAGAATGTTGCTTATAGAGAGGTTGCTTATATATGTTAGAGCGTTCACTGTATTAGAAAATTATACTACTTTATACCAGAGGGATGCTGCACAAAAAACATCTGCGTGGATACCTCAATCCGATTCATGTTTCTGCCCTAAAGCAGCTGTGCTTGTATAGCTCTTTTGGTTTGAGTGTGGATAGAATGTGGAAGTGGGATTCTAGGGTACAGAGGCATAATATCTTAGTCATCCCATGAATAGCAACGCATAAGAGGTACCATGAGCTTTACAGTGTATTCTGCAATGTCTATAAAGCTGTTCATGTCTATAGAAGACATGACTATATTATATGTTTGTCTGTTTAAGCGTGCTTGAGTACGCTTAAACGGCTGGACGGATTTGAATGAAATTTGGTGTGCGGGTAGCTTATAATTTATATATACATAGAATATCTTTTATAGGTACTAATGTACACGCTCGTTATTAATAAGTTATAGCTATATTATTTTAAATTGCTTCTAAAAACCCATATTCGTTAAAGTTCATAACGATCAATTATGCTGCTACTCTTAAAGAAACATGACATCTACGTATAAGATTCGTAATGATTATTTTAAATAACACTTTTAATTTTAAGGTGAACGATGAGAGCGTCATGGAAACTCAAGAAGTAAGTCTATGCACTCCGACACAAGTAAATTAGCTGAATTTATAATATTTTTAATATTGAAAAATAAAAATACTTAATGCATATTGTCAAGAAATAAAAAACGTGTTGTCTTTAATAATTTTATTATTACACATTTACAAAATACCTTACTATTATTTCAAATTTTCTCAAATAAATTTTATTTCATTTGACGTCATTTTTAAATCATTTGTTAATAGATTAATCAATGTCATTAAATAATAAATATACTACCTACTAATAATTTTCTTGCATTCTTTTGTTTTTAAAATTTATTTTTGTACTAATTCATGGATCGGTACTTAGGTACAATATAACCAAATTAAATTTTTTTGTCATAGAAATAAGTATAATTACAGTCATCAATAAAGTTTTGCTATATCCTATAATTGATTACCGAAAAACAAATAGAACTTGAATAAGCTTCCATCTGAATGTAAGTATTAAATTATGATGGTAAATACCTACCTACGTATAATAACTTTAACAAAATTGCAACCATACAAACGAATGTAATACCTGTTCATTTTATGAAAATTCTATCAGCGTAATGTTATGCACAACACATGCAATGGAATGGTAAATAAAGAAGCAAGCCGCATTCGTAAAAGTACATGAAAAACAAGTCAACGATAAGGGTTATGTGAATTCCTTATGTGTTCGTCTAGTCGCGTAGTCGCTTTTGATGACAAGAGTAGATTAATCAAATTGAATGCGAGGAAATGTTTTCCCATATTCTCATAAACTCACGAACTCGGTAATAGTATTATACCTATATAAATTTACAATATACGACCAACAAATTACATAATAATTTAAGAGGTTCATTCATTAAAACTTTTCACTGCAGATATACCTAGTCGTAACATCTAAACAATTTAGAAATAATTATTATATTTAATGTAATTAACAAGCCCATAATTTTGTATTAAATTGGATCATATTATAACGAAGCGCGGAACTCTAGCATGCTGTATGTTATAAGAGTGCGATACAGAAGATATAGGTTGTGTCCAAAAACATTAATGGCAACCGTATTCTTCTTAAGACGTATCATCCCAGGTATAATTTTTGCTTAGATTGATTGCAATTATTTATTTCATCCCTGGGGTAAGTGAAACAAAACAACTGATTGTTTTCGTTAACTGATTTTATCAATGAACAAACAATCCATGAACTTGAAAATCGTATCATGGTAAACTGATTAAATAAGGAGTAGATGTGGGTACTTCACATTTAATTCTACTAAAATTAAGATCTGCTGCTGAAATTAGAGCCCATAAACCTACGTATGTTTCACTTACCCCATCGTGTGTTAACGCAGATATTGTTTGTAGAAGTACAAAATATCCAAAATGTCTGTTTTACTCTCTTGGCATCGCATAACCAGTAGTGTTATCTATTTCACTTTTAAACCACCCAAACAGTTTCATCTTCGTATCGCCCTTGTGACAGGTAAATCCGACAGAAGCCCTGTCAAATTTATTCGATAAAAAACCTGTATTTGTATGTTTGCTTTTTTGATACATGTTCCTTGTATAAAATAGAAAAAGAATAGACACAGAAGAAAAGCTTACAATAATTAAAAATTACTTCATCCAGAAATATTAAAACACTAAGTAGGTATAAAACATAGATTAAAAGATAGTATACCTGCGATACAATTTAAAATTGCCTATCCATGCCAAACACTAGGGGCAAAGCAATAGCTACCGAAACTAAACCTGGTCAAAAGATTAAAATTTTAATATAAAAATGCAATTTTTAGTTATTCCCATTCTTCAACAAGGTAAGCATGTTCTTAGCAATTTTTGCTTGCGGATAAGTAAGAAACAACATTTCTGAATTAAATTTGGGATAAATAGACAATTTAAATTATCCTTCCTTTAAATGAGACGTCGTAAGATGAAAATATCACAATAGCATAATTCGCCCAAATACATTTGCAGAAATTCCGCGCATGAAGTAAATGATAGAACTTTTAAGCTTACTTAGGTATAAGTGACTATATATCCAAGTCTTTTTTTTTACCATTTTATGTCCAATAGACTACTTAAAGGTATATAGAATGAAATTATTTTTTATACCACTAAGATCTCAAACGTATATGGTATTACGATAGGTAAATGGTTAATTCTATTAGTTGTTAACTGATACATTGTTGTAAATGTAGCATTTTAGACAGCCACGCATACCATTATATCAAAAACTCAATCGATTGTTGGTGGAGATGTAATTAAGTTCATTCTTGGTGGCGTCAACGAAGTTTGACTTGCTGTTTGATGGAAAAATTGAGCGACAGATGGTGATAAGCTGTTCATTTGTGGTTGACGTAAAACTGTTCCAGAATCCTGAAATAAGTAGTAGTAAGTAGATATATATTTATTTATTTGAATACTTCATTTATAATATAATTGTGACATCAGGTTGTTTGAAATTCCATATTGTATAAAAAAACTGCTCATCATATAAAGAAAAATAATGTTCTAAAACACACTCTTTGAGTATTTTTGACATAGCTATCTACAATAGTCTTAGGTATGTTCCACAATTTAACTAGATATTATTTTATTTACCGATATATTATTCCGACTTGATATTCTTGGTGACGATACTGGTGTACACACATTCATATGAGTATTTGGAATTGTAGGAGTATTCAAAAGATACTGAAGTTTGTACCCTTTTGCCAAATCTTCAACAGTTTTTCCTGAAAATAACGTTTTTTTTTTAAATTAATAAAAAAGTTTAATTTTATTATGGATGTTTAGGCGCACTTTAATATTTTGTTTCAAGCAATATGTCACATATTTTGTCCACGGAAAATCTCAACGAATATTAGGTACTCTCATATATTTTTATCCAGATGGAGAACATTAATGTACCTGAAATCCGTTCATGGCCGTAGCTAGAAGGAGGAGGAGGTGGCACTGAGGGGCAATGCCCTACCTTAAAAGGTCCAATGCCCTATTTTAAAATAAAAAAAATCCCATAAAAATTAGACAGATTAAGAATTTTTGAAAACATGGTAAAATCACAAGAAATATCGGGGAAATTACAGGTTTTAATTGATAATATTTTTTTTAATAACTAAACATAAAATATAGTTCTAATTCAAATCTATTACTATTAATTCATATTGGTCTTTGAAATCCTAAACGGGTAAATTGATTCAAGATTCAAGGCACTTTACGTTGAGCTAATGTACCATGACGTGCTTGTTTTACACGGAAATATTTTGAAACGATGATTAGGTTACATATTTACTATAAGTAGACTAGGAACTAACCTGTTAATGTTGTAGGTATATTAGTATTACATCTACCGGTTTCTAATATTTTCTTGAGAGCAGTCACATTTTGAAAAATTATAGCTACAGCAGCGCCGTCTGCTAATTGTGAAGAATCGCAACAAGACAATAACAAGTTCCAATTGTCGCTATTCCATTCTTCATTAGAATATACAGCAAATTGTAATGTTGATGCGCCTAAGAAATACGTTAAAAATAAATTTACTATTTACAAATGAATACTTCTTATTGGGGGTGGGAAGGATTGCTAATAATGAAAAGAAAGTTCGGTGATCCTCCCTTGAAATCATCATGGGAATTTATCCCGATAGGCCAAATGACCTGGTTTCATACTTATCTACCACCTCGTTATCGATATCCCGCTAGCGTAAACCAATGGTCAGGCCCCACTTCCCATACCATACTATTTTCATCCGTAAAAAAATTGTGGGTACTTACTGATGGATATTGATTAATTATTAATGATGTCTAGCAATGTACTCTGTAAAGCTAAATAGATACTCTTTATTGTTTCCTCTATAAGATTACAATAATAAACTGTTTGTATATTTTGTAATTCTGTGTGAACTTGGCATAAAATATACCACTCCTTCCTTTCCTGTGAGTGTCGTAAGAGATGAGTAACGGAACTTAACGGTAGAGGGATGAACAGCAGTGTCCCTCTTAAAATATCTCTAAAAGCCTAAATGTGGTTGCTAACCCGTCTGCTAAGCGTGGTAACTACAGGCAATACTCCACTTATGGGAAAGGCTTATGTTCAGCAGTGGACAGTTAATGGTTGAAATGAATGTACCCTATATCAGTTTAATTCTTGGCGAATTCGTCACGATAGTTTTTAGTGGAAACAACGCGGAGGTCGACCTAATGTGGTATATTGAAAGCAATAAAGCTGTTAAATCTCGTTACTAATAAACCTGCTAGTTACATAGTGGGCGTGGAGGCTAAGGAAACACTTAAATTAGTATTAGGTACCTATTTCAAAAATATATGTACTAATTTATGCAATTTGTAATGATTGATTAATTGACGTAGTTATTTATTTCTAGTTAACTAATACATAAACAAATATTTAAAATAACTCACCAGAATCACTCAATAAATGAGGGTTTGCTCCGTATTGTAAAAATATTTTAACAATCGAATAATGTCCATGACGTGCTGCTAATCTAATTGGCCAACCACCTTCAAAATTTGGATCTAATCCATGATTGAGAAATTCAATGACTTCACTTTCATTATTATTAATAATACAATTTCTAAGCACATAATCGCTTCTTTCCATAATATTATAAAATATTTCAGATTTAAAAAAAAAAGGAGTATAAAATACACTTCAACTATTGGATGTTAATATAATAACTGTGTTATGTGTATTTAATTTAGTTTTATGATTACCTACCAAAACTTGCAATCATTATAATTATAAGTACCGTCTTTTTATTTAAATCATATTGGTAATCAAATCATATCTAATACATCCGCTTAGGTATTTTATATTAACTATGTCGCAGACATAGCTAATTTAATACGGTGCAGAGACCTAAAACCTAACTGTGGGGCTGGCCAACACATTAAAAGTCGCACAGAGGACGATGAAGAAAGCTATTTTTGAAATTTTTCTAAGCGAGATAATCTAGAACTAAGAAATTCCACAAAGAACTAAAGTGGCTGACCTAGCTCTCAAAATTTGTCAGCTAAGAAGACAGTGACTCTACCATATTTGTCAAGTCAACAATAGCAGATAGGCAAGAAAAGTTTTGGAGTGAAAGCCAGGTTTAGGATAATGCAGCGGGCGTGCCCTTCTTCTAGATGAGCTATAATATTAAGAAGATGACCAGAAATGGATAGATGTGAAAAACAGAGATTGTACATGGCAGAAGATATTGGAGAAAGCTTATGTCCAGCTGTGGATTGACATATGATAACGATAATATTGCATTTAAAAAGATAAATATGTAATTATATGACAAAATGTGCATATTTGTGTTTCTTTTTTTTTATTTATGTTATATTCGGATACAATATATTTATTTAAAATTAATTACATATTACAACTAATTCCACTTCAAGACATACAATTAATTCAAGTTTGTTTTATTCAAACAATCAAAACCGCCAAATCAGCTTTACTATTAGTAAAAAATGGTATTACGTATCACGAAAACTCGGTAATAACGCAATGGGTTGAATGTATATTTGTCGGATACTAATTGTGGTTAGCTGCTAGTGTGCTACTAAATTTAAATATATTAAACTTGATTTATAAATTATTCTGTGCCACTTCAATGATCTGTGATTCCATTGACATAGGTCGATATAGGTTGGTCAATTATTCTTAGGCGATTGGTATCTACAAAGGGTATTTAAGGACAAGGAATTTTTTTTATGGGTGAAAATGGTATGTTAACCCCGCCTGCGCTAACAGGATACGGTGACGAAGCACCAGTGAAGGGTGATAGATGAGAATGAAAACAGGCCAGTTAGCCCATCATGATGAATTCATCAGGAATTAACCATGATAGTTTCCAGGGGGAACCGCGAGGAGGTCGACTTGGTTGGGTATATTGCTAGCAATAGGATTCTCAGTCTCCATTACTAACAATCCTAACAAGGCATATCGATATTCTGTGCTATGCATTTTTTGGACATTTTTCATATTTGCAAAGTATATTGTATAGAGATAGCAAATAAGAGAATGGGATAAGAGAAAGAAAGAGTTAAGAGATAAAGTAAATGTGGTAACAGAAGAAAAACTTTTTTTTTGTCGTTTATTTTATGGCTCCTGGCAAAATGTAATAATAAAAGATACAACTTTATGATAACAGTCCTGGAAATCATATTAATTTGGAAAAAAAAATATGTGACGTTTAGGTAAAAATCAAAATATGCATCTGAGTACCTTGCAGTTAAGTACTTAATAATGTCAGGCTCAAATGATTCGTATTTAGATAGCTGTTCATTTGGCAAAACTTCAAATAATGAACACTGACATATTTAAATGCGGTGCCAAAGTGGGTGATCTAAATCGTATTTTATTTATTTCTTTATTTATTTTTTATTGCACAATAAAATTATTGTACCTTTTGATACAAAACGATATAGACCATAGGGAAATATTGGTTTAATTCAACTAAAAATAACGATAGATTGGTATTATGATAGACAATAGTAGTTTTTTTTTTTAATAGATGATAATGGAATGGTAACCCCACCTACGCTATCGATATACACCGGCGGGGCACCAATGAAGGATGATAGGTGAGGATGAAATAGGTCAGTTAGCCCATCGTGACGAATTCAACAAGAATTGTTCACGATGGTTTCCAGGGGGAACCACATGGAGGTCGACCTAATAAGGCATATTGCTAGCAATGGGGCTGTCAAACTCCATTGCTACCAATCCCTTTCCCCCCAGACAATAGTAGTTAGAAAGGGAATGTTAGTTAGTAAGTCAATGATAGAAAAACAAACCAAAATTTGTAAAGACTTTCGTATACTTCACCTTTCATAATCATTCTTCGTTTATATCTTCTTGAAAATTTCTTTTCTTACTTCTGTTTTATATTAATTAGCTCATCCTAATCGTTCTATTTACAAAACACTAGCCTTATTTATTAGTAATAATAGTAAAAAACTTTAATTTTATGCTCACTAAAAGGAACTTATTTATTACGTTCCTTTATTTGTCGTTCCGCTTTATTTTTCTTTGTAAGTGGTATATTGAGCAACACTAGCACATTAAAAAAAAAAAGTTGGGTTCTTTAGGACTTGCATTCAAAGCCGTAAACTACATGAATTAAAAAAAAGTGCAGTCAAATTTTGCTTGTTTTGTTTTCTATCTATCCGTCAGTAATTAGATCAGTACATATTTTTTGTTTATATACTTTTTGAGGTTTTTGTACATATCAGTTCATAGTTTTGTTTAGACTCTTTTAGTGAATATTTGTTTTGATACTTTATTTAATAAAAAAAATTTACGTAAAATAAGTTTTTAACAACAATAATAATAAAGAAATTAATATTGTGCGTATTATTTGCTTCTTCGCAATAAAATATCACAATAATTAATAATAATAAAAGAAAGAGAAGTCAATGGGGAGGTATGATGTAATTCCTTCTTCTTAGGGTACGATTTAAGACTTTTTATATATACAGACACATAATTATTTATTTCCTGTATAAAAACTAATTTTACTCTTTTTTTTTTTTTTTTTTTGTTTTAATATAAATTTTCAATAGTAAGTTTATATTAATAGCTATTTTTATTGTCGACCGCTCGAAAGTTGTCTATCTATAATTTACAGCTTTTCACTAACTGAATTTACATTAGCAACAACTGTATCAGGATTTTTTTTTATTTTTGAGCAAGTTAAAAAGCATGATACTATTGTCATCTCATAAGTTAACATTACTTATTTACAGACATAGAGAATGGCGAAAAATTGCAAAAAGAGAAAGAAGACGAAAACAGAGAACTAAAAATGCTAAAGACAGAGACTGTATGTACTGTACTTACCCTCATTTATTTATAAATGTCATACACATTTCCAAATATATGTATATCTTATCCCATGCCTTATGTTAATTAGTCACTCTTAATAATGTTGAAGTAAATTAATATATCATATCTATAATTTTAACTAATGAGCTGAAACTTATGAGTAAATAGTACTTATTATTAATACTCTTTGTGGTATTACATGTTCTGATACTGTAATATTGAACACTGAAAACATGCTGCTGTATTAAAAATGAAAAAGGAGCCAAATGGAATAGATTCTCTACTTTCACTGCTCTCTCCTTATTCCCTCATTTTTAATAAATAATAATTAATATGTATAATTAGGTAAATTTTATATAAAAAACACTATTACTTAATTTTTAAATACCCCTTCACTCCTCATTTTGAGGGAAAAGTTAACTACTCTTGATCTGCCCCTTTTTGAACCTGCTCCGCAATAATAAAAGTATATGAATTAAATGTGTTTGAATAAAATATTACTATGTAATAAGTGTTAACTATATATGTACATATGATAAAATTGTAACTTGATAATGTCTATACATAGGCGATATTTAGGAAAAACATTTATCTATTGCTCTTATTAGAATCTGTTATTTTATAAAGGATTCTATAAATAAGAACAATGTAAGCTAAAACTGTTAATATGTATGATCTGCTATTATGTATGCAAAAACCACTGCACCAAATTGGATGCAATTTTGCAGTTCTATTTCTTAAAATATAACTTAAAATCTAGAATTACCATCTAATATGAGATAGCATACATTTCCTAGTTCCTATTATTCTTACTATCGAAATTCACGTAGCCAAAGTCATAAGCAAAAGCTACTTCTTAAATAAATTATTATTTTGATTATTTATTCTTTCTGCAATTGTATTCGCAGGTTATTTATTTAAAAAACTACCTTCTAATGAGTATATTAAATGGTTAGAAGAACAAGAAGCAATGGATCTTTTTTACTATGAACAAATTGAAAAACAAAATGCAGAAGAGAATAAAAAATGGTTAGAAGCAGAAAAAAAGGCTTTAGAAAAGTGGAAACAATTGCAAGAAAAAAAAGAAATTATGTTGCAGAAACAATTAGAGCAAGAGATTAAACTCAAACTGGTATGGGTTTTGCTACTGTTTTTTGCATAAGTTCTCTTTAATATAGTTTCCAAAGCCAGTATCTTATTTTTATAGTTGTACAGAAAAATCTGGAAATATGACTTTGTTAGAACATATTTAGAAGTAAATAATGTAAGTTTTCTTGTTATATTAAATTTCATTTCTAGGAACTTGAATTGGAAGAAGAAAAAAAGAGACAAGAAAAAGAGAGGTTAAGGCAGATAGAAGAGGCAAACAAAAGGAAGCAAGAGGTATTCATGAAACATCTTCAAGAATTTTTGTCTGGAAATGCTATTGAACCTCCAACCGAATTACTAATCTCACATGAAACTAGACCAAGTACAGAATTTTGTCCTTTCTTTACTAAAACTGCCTCGTGTCGTTTTGGGGACCAGTGCTCTAGAAATCATCGATATCCTGGTATTAGTAAGGTAAATATTTATTGGATGGTAGTTGCCTACAGGAAGTTCTTATACATTTATCTCTTAAAACTTATTATAATACAGTTCCTAAATCTAATACCATTATGTAAAAACCGTGAGTTTTTAGAATAAAGGTTTTTTTTTTATATTTATATGAAGGTGAGTCATTCTTAAATAACCTTTATAATATTTATTATTTATTTTTTCTATTGTATGATCTTTCTTAGTGTTCATATATTTAGTAGTTTCTGAAGTACATATATAAGGATTTTTTTAATTGGTTTGACTGAATTTATTTAATACTTATTAAAAATTTTATTGCAGGTGCTCCTGGCACCAAACTTCTATGTCCACTTTGGTTTAAATAATGCCAACTATAATGAATATGATACAGATGTAATGCTGGAATATGAAGATAGTGACACATACAAGGAATTTAAAGATTTCTTTTATGACGTGTTACCAGAATTTGAAAAATTTGGTAGAATTGTACAATTCAAGGTAAATAATAAATATTATGTGATGAAGAAGTATCCTTTGAAAAGAGCTTCTACTATTTATAATGTTTTCCAGGTCAGCTAGTAAAATATAATTATTTAATTATATTGTTACATTACATCAGGCCATTCCTTATGACAGTCTCTATAGAGTATAAGAGGCCTGTGTCCAACAATGGATGGATAGTGGTTGAAATAATGATGATGATCATTACATTACACAAAGATTGTATAGATATAATGTCAGGTTGACTTTGTAGTGAGTGTCTATAATGCACCGCAATACATAGTACTCCCTTCTGTGTAAAAGTAAAAAGAAAGATCATAAGGGATTATTTATTTACTCTTTGCACCAATTAAAAAAATATAGATATATACATATTTTATTTTGATCTGTTGTTAAAATCAACAACATCGTATGAGATTATGATCTCTCAATTCTTTAAATTGTTGTATTCAATATGACTTACATGACATAATGGTAGTTATATATCATACCTATATCTACTTACTGTTATATTATTTAAACATAATATTATGTTTAACAAAAGAATAATTTAACTTATAAGAATAATCAGAAATGACGTTAGAGGAAGGTTCACTATACAAGGCTATTAAAACTAAAAAAGGTTTGTATCAAAATTTATATAATTTAATTATAATTATTTATTTAATATATTATAGCTCGCTTCTAGGAGGTTTTTGCTATGAATCGCAACGTCGCAACCTGCTGTCCAATTATATAGTTTCTTAATGATTAGTGTATGCATGATCATCTTCATATACACTGACAACAACCTATTATATTATGATAATGTAATTTAAAACAAGTCAAAGAATTCGAAGGCTTCCAAATTTATCAATCACTAGCTTATACTCGCGACTTCGTCCATCTGACCGGGATAAATTTATTAAACGGAATAAATAGTAGTCTATGAGCATTTCCATCCCATATAGTATGTGTACACCAATTTGTAGTAATTAGTTAAGTTGTTAAGGCGCTAAGAGATAAACTCACCACTACATTTATAATATTAGTAAAGATCTATACGCACACTGAATTCGTTTTCCAAATTAGCTTCAAACTTCTTACCTTGCCTGTCTATGGAAAAAAGAGGAAATTGTCGTTAATAATATACAAAGATGTTTAAATTTTTTTTTATTTAAACTTAATTAATATAACTACAGTTGCCAACCTGCCTGCCGAGCGTGGCAACTACTAACAAAATCCTCTTATTCCTCCATAAGGCTTCGCCGTTATATAAGCCGTTGACTATCTCAACGGCTTATATGATAAATATAACTTACGGTAAACCCGTATTATAGTAGTGTTTAGTCGAAATCGCATTAATACGCGTATTAACATGCATGGTACGCCATTCGTGCTTCATTGAATATTTCATTAGATATTTACCAATTAATTCTTTCCTTCTTTTGCATTATTTGAATACACTGAACATCATTTTTATTGGTATTTTGGTTTTTTTATTAAGTCAGCTCATTGGGGACATAAAAGTAGTTTTCTAGCACGACCCAGTTATTTGCAGTTTGCGTGGATTTCTTTCGCACATTCCTTGTTTGTTCCATAGTGTATCTCTGAATACAATTTTATCACCATTATTTAATGTGTTTTGAAACTCTTGATATTTGTAGTAATTATAAAACCATACATACATGGCAAGACGTTGCGGTTCATAAATTAAACAATTATCAATCTGTGTTGTTTACTCGATATAATTGTATACATATCTACATATATTTTTACTTTAATATTCGAACGGATGTTGCCGACCGCGGTTGGGTCCACCGTTGTAGACTGTGTAGATGCTTGATGTCAACCACGAGATTACCCCTTTTGTGACTGCAACTAACCCTTTTTCTATTCATTCAACCTTGCATTTAATTTAACACTTACCTCAAATTAAGAACAATCTAAACATTTATATTTAAGTACAGTAGAGATCACCAATTAGAATAATTACAAGGGCTAGCTTTCATTTTAGTAATTTTATAATGATATTATAAGTAGAGATGAAATAGATATTCGTTAACTATCCGGTATCCGGCCGTATAGGCTGAATTTCGGATACTCAAAAATTATCATGATTTCCTAAAATAAACTTTAGACAATGAATCTTTATTAATATAATAGCTTATAATTGTGATTGCTGTTATTTAAAGCCGGAAAAGAAACAAAAATGTGCAAGGCACTTTCTAAAAAACTTAAATTGCATTCCTTTAATTATAAATTTACATAAAAGCAAGTAAACAAAATCAATAATTTAACATAACTTTTACGGTTTTGAACAATTCAAGGTCTTCAATTCAGTTAAGCGACTAAATGTTTTGTAAAATATTCGTATATAATGATTGTCATGTCCAGATGAGCCTTGTTCACGTACTTACCTACTTGAGGTCTAAAGAACTTTTCCATTCCTTTATTTTTCTTTTGATTGCTTAATTTTTAAATGTAATACATTTAGGTATGTTCACTTATTAAAAAAGCAATAACATTGCAGACAAATCAAACTTATTGGCTTTTCAACTGACTTCGAAAAGAAGTTGTTTCTAAATCTGTTTGTATTTTTTTATATTTGTTACCTACTTACAGACTGCTCCCATAGAAATTATATCAAAATCGATTGAGTAGTTTACTTTTTAAATCAAAGTTTTTGTCACAATTGAAATCGATTTTTTTTAAAACACAATATTATATTTTGTCTTTAGTTTTGTCCTATGCAATAATTACTAGACTTTTACTATTTATTCGTAGATTTCGTGAAAGTGAACTTTAAATATAAAATTTATATATATTCTTGATTGTACTCAAAAACAATAAAGTAGAAAGAAGATAAGCCCAGAGTATTTAAGTTTATTATGTTATAGGTTTGCAACAATTATGAGAAACATCTTCGTGGCAACACTTACATAGAATTTGCAGAACTGCGATGTGCGGTAGCTGCATACCAGTCTTTACATACACGTTGGTACGGAGGCAAACAGCTCTCTTTGCAGTTCTGTACTATTGATTCATGGAAGAATGCAATATGTGGTAAATATTTTTAATTGTTACTTATTGTAACTCGCAACTTTCTAGATTCTAGAATATCGAATCAATTCTAGTGTATAACTATTGCAACGTGGTTGAAATATGGTAGGTATATCAACCAAGTTTAAATGTGATCGAGTAAAGAACATTCTCTTTTATAACATTAATAATTCTTATTGACTATTTAAAGACTAATGATGAAATTCGAATATTATAAAAATACGATATGAAAGACGAAGAAGTATTAAACTTTAGACTTTAAACTTTATATTTTTTCATATTAAACTTTAGTCCTACCTTAATAGGTCGCTTAGAAACTTGTCTAACATATTTTGCACATTTGTTACTTGTACTTTTTAATTGCAGGTCTTCAATCTAAAAGACGTTGTCCAAAAGGCCGTGCCTGCAATTTTTTGCATGTGTTTCGTAATCCAAACAATTTGTTCAACAGTTACAACATTGAACCAAAAGATAATTTTGATCGGTATGTATATTTTAAATGCTATTATTTAGACTTTTAGTTTTAAATGTACGTTAAATGATGATGAAGAATGTTTGTGTGGCAGCAGAGTAAGAATACGAAGTGTTACCATTCGCCTTTCATTCATTCTTTCACTACTTTATTTGCTGATTGTATAAGATGCAATTACGGGATTAAATCCCAACACGCCACTACAAGAGAGAAAATTCTAAATAGAATCCTATATCTTACCGTTTGGCTAGCATGATATTTATAATGTTATAAACTGAATATTCTTGCCGCGTGGTTCCGGCATAGAATGGGCCACCCATTCCTGTGGGAGTCGTAAGAGGCAACTAAGGGAACTTAATGATGGAAGGATGGGCATCAGCGTCCCTCTTAAAACATTACCAAAGTCTAATTGCGGTTGCCAACCCGCCTGCCAAGCGTAGCAACTATTGGCAAAACTTCCCTTATGAGGAAGGCCTATGTTCAGCAGTGGACAATTAACGACTGATATAATAATAATAAATAATAATACTAAATATTTTGGTATAACATGATAATTAGAAATTTATTGTGTAAAATAGCAAGCAAACTGCTCGCTCACTCAATGAAAAGACACGAACAATACCGTAGATTTCACGCAATAGACTGTGTCTACTCTTATGGTACTTCTAATGTATTGCTATTTTTTTTTATTTATTTTTTTATGGGTGAAAATGGTATGGTAACCCTGCCTGCGCTAACGGGATACGCTGGCGGAGCACCAGTGAAGGGTGATAGATGAGAATGAAAACAGGCCAGTTAGCCCATCATGATGAATTCATCAGGAGTTAACCATGATAGTTTCCAGGGGGAACCGCGAGGAGGTCTACCTGGTTGGGTATATTGCTAGCAATGGGTTTCTCAGTCTCCATTACTAACAATCCCTTTCCCCCTAATGTATTGCTATTACTGAATACCTTCATATCTTGTTATCCCAAAATGCTGCAATCAAAGAACAGTCACTTTACAGCAAAAACGAGTGGGACAGGCGAATCTATGCAGACAACTTCTGTATAATTTTGTAATACTTAGTAGTTATTTTATAAACGATTTTCAGCATACATCTGTCACCACATCGCTCATGGAGATGGTCCGAATCACCGGAAACCGATATCTCAAGAAGAAATATTGATAAAAAATATGATAGAAAAATTAGTAAAGATGAAGTTTCCGAATACCACAAAAAAAAATCCAGGAGAAAAGATAGACATAGAAACTGTAGTCGACGTAAAGATTAAAACAGAAATAAAGGCGTATTTTGTCTTTTTTTTACTTTAAACCTATTTATTAAATCTATTTAACTTCTTTCTACATTAAAACTTAAGAACGTTCATACTTACATTACATACTATACATTACTTACATTACATGCAATAAATTAATGGATGATAATGGAATGTTAACCTCGCCTGCGCTAACGGTATACGCTAGTGGGACCCCAGTCAGGGATGATAGGTGAGAATAAAAAGGCAAATCATTTAGCCCATCGTGATGAATACACCTGAAATTCAGCACGATGGTTTCCACGGGGAACACATGGAGGTCGACCTGACAATATATATTTTTTAATGGGTGATAATTGAATGGCATCCCCACCCGTGCCATCGGTATACACCGACGGGGCACCAGTGAAGAATGATAGCTGAGGATGAAGCAGGTCAGTTAGCTTGTCGTGACGAATTCAACGAGCTTCCAAGAGGAACCACGTGGAGGTCGACCTGATATTGCTAACAATCCCTTTCCCGCCGTCCCCACTCTAATAGCAATGTGACTAGTACAAATAGTAGTATAAAAAAATTATTCATCATTATCATGTACATGATTATTTATCTAACAATTTTGAACATTGATTAGAAAAAGTAGGCACGGATCACACATTAGAGAGACTATAGCATAGATTAAGGATCATACCTGTAATCTCAATTGTCAATGTCAGCTTCAGTTGTTACTTGAAATATTATTTTGGGCTTTGGTTTTTAAATTGTTAAACAATTATAAACAATATTTATTATTTCTATAAATTTTATCAGTCAGTCATAGCAAATAATCAAATATTTTTTATTAATTTCAATATAAAATATATTTCGACTACAAGTAAGCATATACAGAAGAAAGTGATTAAATAACAAATAAATATGATTATTATATCAAGACATTTAATGATGGATTCTATTAATCTTTTTCGACCAAATTATATGTCGATATGGAAAAAGTTATTCTCAGTACCGATTCCGTGTTTGTGTCAATGTAGTCAGTTGTACTATGGATCAAAAACACGTGTTGCAAGCAAAAGCAAGGGATCTATTGAAAATGGAAGTGACGGTATGTATTTTATTGAAATTAAATAAAAAGAAATATTGACTATTAGTTTTTGGCGTTACGCCTGGATCAGAAGCAAAACGACATGAAATAGATCACTTGTATATGGAATTCCAAGATGAAATATGCATCACATTTTAGTATAGATTGCATCCAATTTGGTGCGATAATTTTTATGTAATGGTGGTGAAACATATAGACAAACAAACAAAATTTCTAAAAATGATTGTTTTATCATCTGTTAGCCTTATTAAGACCCCTTATATTTTTATTTTTTAAATAGATATCTTCCATATAGTTTCCTTTAGTATGTATATATATACTATTATAAATACTATTTTTGTTTATTTTACAGGTGTGCACAAAGATAAAATAATTTCACTACTGAACTTTCAAACAGCAGAAGATGCCTTACCTTTTTATAAACTGCCTATAAAGACATTGCTCCATGTATACAAGACCACTAAAAATGATGAAAATAACTTATATTGTAAAAATAGATTATATTACATTTCTTCACAACTAAATGTGAGAACTACTATAAGTTCATTATTTTATTCTTAAGCTTTACTTAACTGTTCTAAATTAACATTTGACAAATATTTATGTTTGCTTTTTTTTTTTATTCTTCATAAATTATTAGTAATGGATTCTAAGAGTTCCATTGCTAATAATATACTCCTTCCGGTTGACTTCTGCATTGTCTGTACTGAAAACTATTATGGTTAATTTCTGGTAAATTCATCACAGTTTGATTGCTAACATGCCTTTATCTTTACCTATCATCTCTCACTGGAGCCCCACCAGTGTTTACAAATAGCATAACAATTCTATTTGCATTCCATTTTAAAAAATATGATGACTAAACAATTAGTATGATTCTGTACTAAAATTCAAATAAATATATGTATGACTACAATCCCTAAAGGAGATCAGAGACATTTATTAACTCTTGCTATTGTGGTGAATGTAATACCTGTTCACTGTGTGGCATTTATTAATTACTTTTATTTTAATATTTTCAGTATCCAACCGCACTTTTAAGCTCAAAATTAGCTCGTCGTACTTTTATTTATAGTTTGTCTTTTAATTGGCTTAAAAGTTCATTGGAAGTGTTATTAGGTAAGAAATGTTTTATTTAACAATATTATATACTATAACAGTCCAACTTTTTATGTAGGCAACATAGTAAACAAATTACATGTACTAAACTCCCAACAGCAGTGTTTCTGAACAGATATGCCATTATAACTTCCAAGATAAAAGCATTTTCAGGTCATTAAAAGGTCAGCTACACACCTGAAGTCGGATGTGTGGGTGCCTATGGACAGTGGTAGTCAGTTACCATTACATGAGCCAAATACCTGGTTGCCCCCTATTTTATAAAAAAAAATGCTAAAATTTTAGTTATATTGTAATGTAGCAAGGCCCTAAATATTATAATATTTAGGGCTCCCATTTGTTTCAATATAATTATTAAACTACCTTTTACCTACATGTAAAATTTTATTATAGTAGTTACTTTATACAAACATTAAGATAGCTAAAGATGTTTCCACAAATACATAATAAACGAAGATTCTCATTTCAAGATCAGGCATGTCTGTATATAATCAAATTGCAAGTAATGATTAATTAGCCCACTAATGTTTAAACTATCATCGAAATCCCATTAGCCATTCTCTCGCGATGACTAATAAACAAAACTTTTTTAAAAATAAGTACTTGTCCCATTATGTGCTAATATTAGTGTCATAATGTAAATTTTATTGAAGACACTACTAGTAGGTATTAGCGCAAAATGCGTGTAATATTAAACTGTTTAATTTCGTTACAATGCATGGAGCTAGTATCACGCTATTGTAATTTAGGTTTACGAGTAGTACTTACTAGATTTTGTTAACACAATTGAACATGTGGCTAACATACATTTATGTTTGCAGAAATGGGTGTGTCAGCAGACCGCATTGTAAGAGATCTATGGGTACTCAAATATCATAGTACAACAATACGAGAAAGATTACAAAGAATTAAAGATATGGATATTGATATTCTATATCCATGGATGGTTCGATGTTCTGAGGACATTTTGAACAGGTGTCTATTATTTATGTACTCGATTTTACTAAATTATTACCGGTAATGGTGTCCATGCACTGTTTAATCTAGAGATCATGTAATATGAACATATAGCAATATTGTACAGTTTTTTGATTGAATGACTTAGCAGATCGCAATAATAAATTAAAGAAATATCAGATGTGACCTCAAAATCATATAATTGTACAAATATATCTCACATAATTTACAAATCGGTCCTATAATTACTTCTTATCTAGTAATAGCCCTCAGGAATGGCAATGCATGAGCGTTACTAACAACAACGATGAGTATTTACAGTGTATTCTGTCATGTATATAGTGCATTCAAGTCTATAGGCGACGGTTCTTGCATTTCATCAGGTGATGTGTCAATTTGTATTCTAGTAATACAATAATATATATATATATATATATATATATATATATATATATATATATATATATATATATATATATATATATATATATATATATATATATATATATATATAAATCTTACAGCAGTTTGGGATAATCAGAATTGTTTGATATTTGCCGTCTATTTTTTTACTTACAACACATTAATGAGCGTACTTGGTGCTGCTTTTGCAGTAATTTAGGAATTAGTTCCTATTATGAGTTAATTCTATCTTTAGTCACTTGGTCGCTATTTGTTATAGAAGAGTGCATTTTATCCAGCTACCATTAGGCAGTAATCGATTTCGAAACATCTTTTTTTTTTTGACAACAATTATTTGCGCTGTTTGCTGTTATAATCAGCTCCCAGCAGCAATGCTAGGTACATAATTATTAGGCACAGTATTGTTTGGTTAGCTATTTCTTTTGTCATGAACGACTTTTAAGCAAATTTTTAGTACTAAATTTAAGTTTATTCAATCGTTTTGCATTACTTTGGCAACACTAGTCTTTTTTCCACCCAAGTACATACATCATGATTTCTGTAAAACTCGTTAGTAATATGGATACTGTACTTGTTTATTTTTTTTAATATTATAATGTAAACCTAGCTGGTAACCCAGCCTATTGCGCCTCGCAAAAACCTACCGCTCGGAACCTCGCAATGGGTAAGGCCGCCGCTGCCAATACTTTCTAGAAAGACCGCGTGGAGGTCAAGCTGATAGGGTATTAGCAAGGTATTTGTACGACCGTGGCTGACGTAAATATGAAGATGGATCATTGAGATTAGTCTCAATCAACCAATGATAAAATGGTTGAGTTCTAGTAGTTGGTTCAGTATCTATTTAATGTCTTTGGTAAAAAAAAATTAGTATTTACCAAAGACAGTGTCTTTGGTAAATACTACCAATTTTTTTTTTATATTCAGTATATAGGAAGTAAATCAGAATACTGTATGACTATCTTATTGAAGGACAAGGCGCTAAACACGTAATCTGACCAAGTTGTTCCCAATTTTTGCCTACAGATTTCGAGCACGTTCATAATATTATTATAAACGTGCAAGTGTATAAAGGTGTCTAAAATTTTAACAAGTCTAAAATGTTACTCAATCACGCTTAAACGACTGAACAAATTTGAATTAAATTTTAATACACGACTAAGTTTATCTTAGAGAATATGTTGTATTCTCTCGCCAGTGAATCATAACATCAAGCGGCGGCTAACGAAAAAAATGCGAAGTCAACTGCCAGCAGCTTCGCTAATCGTCTCCATATAAATAAAACAAATGTAATGAAATTAGTGTACACTCCATGGCAGGACCATTCTAAACAGGATGAATGCGACGTGCGGCTATAGCGTTTGATCTTTGGGTGGTCGGAAGGCACGCATAACTGTTTCCTCGAAATCGAACTAATCGAATCAACTGTATTTTACGTAAAATCGGGCGTTGACCAGAATATTATAATGACACTCGAGTTTAATAAGGGTTAAGGCGGTTAGTTTTGCAGTACATAAAACAAATGTCAGGAAATTTGTTGCATAATAATAATTTTATTTAATAATTTAATGGTGAATTATTTTGGTGTCCTGAAGTTATTGCATACGTTACAAATAAATATTTACATTTGATACTATCTACTACGATATGATACTACTATGAAATTAATCGAGAGTCTAATTTCACAACGTAAATCCGAATTTAGGAATACCTCATACATAAAAAGCTTTTTGTTTCTTGCAAAATTTAAGGTAACTGTAATTTCCTTTACCAAATTTTTCCTTTTTTTACACAATCACACATATCGCCTGGTTCTCAAGCTATAAAACTCTGTTTTTATAAAGAACTCAAGTTCTAGAAGAAGAAGTGAATTTCTAGATGACAACAACCATCTAGAAATTCACCCAGAACGCTTACACCCAAATAAATTCAGAAAAGTTTTTCCTAAATTGGCTCGACAGAGTATTGAATCCAGGGCCTCATTTAAAGCATCGTATCACTGCGCTACAGAGATCGTCATTGTGATTTCGTATCAATTGAAAAATTCGCTTCGACACGCATCAACTCCTCACTGTAGACAAATCATAAGTGATAGTTACAAACTAGTCTGGCCATAAATACTGTTACATAAAAATTATTTTTTTTTTTTTCAACTTTTTAATTATTTTGAATTTGGAACACGTTTATTCTTTTAAAGTTTTTTTTTTTCTATTTCGCGCTATTTCACATATTTTTTCGTGTTCATTATCAATTTACAATATAGAATGGGGTGTTAAAGAAAATGAATTGCAGTGATCGCCTTGCACAAAGTGGGTATGGAACCGTCGGTCATATTCCAAACACTTCAAAAGCTTAGTATCAGCCGTATATTCGTATATCGTACTATCAAAAGATACAGCATACTGTCGAAGACCAGAAAAGATCGGGGTGGCCGCGTGCTGTTAGAACTACAAAGGCTGTTAAAGCCAGAATTCGTCGAAACCCCATTAAGAAGCAAAAAATCTTATGAAGATTCTCGCGACTCTGTCTGTCGCGTATTATAAAACAAGATCTGAAGCTCGGTGCTTATCGTCGATATACAGCCCTAAATCAATCTTTACAATTAAAGAGAGTGGATCGATCAAAACGCCTGTCGCGATACGCAGATGAAAGGCACAGCAATATCTTCTTTACTGATGAAAAAATTTTCACGATTGTAGAAAACTATAATAAGCAAACTGATAAAGTGTAAACTCACAGTTCTAAAGAAGCTGCTCATGTGGTGGGAAAGGTACAACATGGTCATCATCCTATCAAGTTTTATCAAGGAGTCGCAAAGCTACATTATTGTAAAAAAAATAGTGAAAACTTCAGTCAAAATGTATCAAGATACAGTCTTGGATCGTATCGTGAAACCTGTCAGCAATACATTTTTTTTTAAATATACCATGAATTTTCCAGTAGGACTCTGCACCTGGTCACAAGGCAAGAACTACCCAAGCCTGGCTTGAAACCAACGTTCCGGAGTTTATAAGAGCTGAAGGCTGGCTCTCATCTAGCCCAGACCTCAATCCTTTAGACTTCAAATTATGGTCAGTTTTAGAGAACATGGCCTGCTCTAAACGACACGGTGACATTGATTCTCTTAAAAAATCTTTGGAGCAAGCTATGGCGAAATTTCTCTTAGAAACAGTGCGTAAATCCATAGATTCATGGCCAGACATATAAAAGCCAAAGATTGTAATTTCGAATAGAATATTTTTTTTATTTTTTGCTGAGACTAATATGTAGGTATAAATTTTATTAATATTACATTACTACATAAAAATAAATGCATTTTCATTTGTTACATAACTTATGGCTGGACTAGGTATATATCATTTTCACAAGTCATTAATATATAATCAAAGACTTAGTCAAACCAAATTATGTAAATTATGAAGTACTTAATTGCCTTTGTAATGATCGAGTATTTTTTTTTTTTCAGGTATGTACAAATATGTCAGGAAACAAAGAATATACTTGGGGAGACTAAATCTACTCAAATCTATTTAGCAAATCGATTAAATATATCTTCGAAAGATGTTGAAGAGATGTGTCTGAGAATACCGGCTTTAAAGACTATTCGAGTGACCAAGGTTATTTACTACTTTATGTTTGATATATTTATTTATACACATCTATGACCGTGTTTATTACCATAGAGGAAATTAGGCCCAACTTCGTCGTTGATATGATTTGCTAGTGATGATATATCTGGTGAATAAAATATTTTTTACGAAGATTTTAAATTCATAGGGATAGCATCATTTTGGGCATGTCATTCGTCAATAAGAAACATTTGATTGCAGATTTTGTTTTTTAGGCTTAGTGAAAACAGTTCTAGGCACTTATAAAATTAACCATTTATATGAATGGCGCAAGATCATATTTAGTGAGGTTCTAAGTAGACTAAGATGACCCGATGACAAAGTTACACAATTCACAATAAAACTGGAAACTTAGAAATGTGTCCCTCCTAAATATAAATACGACGCTATGTCTAATATATCATAAAACAGAAAAAGAGATGATTAGATACTTACCGGTGTATATAATTATTTATAAAAATTAAAAATAATATTTTTATCATCTGTTCAAGGTTAAACATTTCTTAGATTTTCTCGAAAAGGAAGGCTTTGAATTGGAAGATATTGCATCAAAACCTAGGATATTATCTGCTTCGCCGAAGACAGTTGAAAAAAGATTAACACAACTACGTGAATTAGGAATGAAACAAATTAATTTAAATATACTTTGTAGAAGCAAGAAAGATTATAAAAAGTATTTTGAGTCTATGGCTTCAATTCGTAAAAAAGGTATAAATTAACAGGCTGTCGTCGGTCCAGTAATGCCTGTAATGTTCTGAAAATAGTTAGGCTATACTAAAATGTGACAAGTATTATATATATATGAAACAAAAAAAATTAAAAAAAAAAATTCAATGTATTGCATATATATTTTCCCCATTTATCTGTTAGACAGAAATGATAATTACTTAAAAATAATAATTATTCAAGTCATACATACATTTATTTAGAACAGATGGAGGCAGCACTGAACTGATGATTGCCATTCAATACAAACTGATTGACAGATTAAGATTCTTACATTTCTATGATTAAACACTTGCAAATTGTTATAAAAATATTATAGTAGGAAAATCATATTACAATAACAATTGTGTTCACCTATGAGCACAATTGTTATTGGAGTATATTTTTTGTATTGATAACATTTCTATAACATTTTATTTAAAGTGAAATTATGTTTATCACTACATTTTTATTTTTCAGAGCATAATACATAATTCAGTGACAATAACCATAATTGTTGTGGTGACTGTTTGAAGAATCATTAAAGTTTACATAAAAATTGTTTATTTTATTTATTTGTGCCCTATTTTTAAGAAATTCCTCCATAAATTTATACTATGATTCATATATAACTGCATACATATACAAAAACAACCAAAATTACACAAGTTACCAATAGATATTGTTTACAATCTTAAAATGTTAAACTACACACTTTATGATGGAATTTCTTGTGGATAAACATGTTAGTGATATCAAATAAAACAAAATTACATTAAAATTATTAATGATTATTGCTTCTGCCATACAAAAAGTCCCTGGAATGAATTGCATGATGTAAAAAAACTCACTAGCATTTTAAACAAATATAAATAAATCTACAATTGGATTATTGTGGCCTTTGATCTCAAGTTGCATTTTGCAATTGGGGTCACAAATAATAGCTTGTAGTTGTCAACACATCAGCTTGTAAAATATGTAGGTGTAGATAATTATATTTATATTAAACTACCTATATAAAATTACATAGTGTGAGGTTTGAGTAGGAATCCATAGAGGATTTAATTGAACTACTGATGAGCACACTGTACACCAGGACCAGCATGCATGTGCTCTTCATCATCACTTGCATAGGCTTCCTCACGGCCTCTGCCTCGTTCGCTGGCAGTGTACTCCATCAGATTTACCTCTTCAACATCTTCACCAGTTGGCATAACAAAAGCTGGACGTGGTGGTAATATACTTTCAATCTTTTTGAGCTTCTCTTCAGAGGCAAAGTTATTTTCAGGAAAAACAACATCAAATTTTATGTACAAATTACCCTTCTCAAATGGGTTCTTATACTGTGGCATACCTTCTCCTTGTATTCCTTTTAAATCTCCAGGTTTTATTATTTCACCTGCAGAGTGTCTAACAAGTAAATCCCGACCATCCAAGTGTTTAACAACAAACTGAAAACCACACAATGCTTCTGTCAAGGTAATTTCATGCTTCATGACAAGATCATCACCAGTCCTTTGGAACACATCGTGAGGCTTCTGTTGTAGCACAATAATAACATCTCCAGGTTGAGTGTCTGGTTGCTGGTCACCTTCCCCTCTAAAGTAAATTTTTTGATTTTCTCGCATGCCTTTGTCAATATGGACCTCCAATATTTTGGTTTCATTTAGTACTTTCTTACCTTTGCATTTTGGGCACTTATCCTTGTCGTTGATTGTTTCACCTTGCCCATGGCATGTGGGACAGCGTGTTTGGAATTGACGAGTCATATGGGCTGCAATCTGCTGGTAAGACACTTTTATACCCTGTCCATGGCAGTCCTTACAAGATACAACTGATCCTGGCTTTCCACCAATACCTTTACAAGGACCACAAATGACATTTTTACTTAATTGTAACTTTGCCGTTTTTCCAACATACATATCCTCTAAAGATACTTTAAGTGGGTGAATAGTATCTTCCCCACGAGCTGGGCCTCTGTCTCTACTACCTCCCATTCCAAATATATCACCAAAAAAGTGACCAAGAAACTCCTCAGGTGGAAAACCTCCTTGACCACCACCTTCTTGTAACCCCTTTAATCCATACTTATCATACGTTTGTCGTTTTTTTGGATCAGATAATACTTCATATGCATAACTAATTTCTTTAAACTTGTCACCTGCAGCAGGATTTTTATCTGGATGAAATTCCTTGGCCAGTTTATGATAATTCTGTAAAAAATAAAATAAAAACTAAGTAACCAATGGCCTAGGACAATGGAATTAAAATTGCAAGCATCAAAGTCGAAATGACATGTGATTTTTCAAGATACGATAAAATAGACTAATGAAAGCCTTTATAGATTAATTTATGAATTATATAACTTACCCTTTTTATTTCGGATTCACTTGCATTTCTAGAAACACCCAAGAGTTCATATAATTTATTATCAGCCATTTTTTCCAAGATATAAATGGAAAAAAGGAGGACCTAGCAAGTAAATGAATGAATGAAACACATTCGTGATTCGATTTTAGTGCATAGATAAAATAAAGCAATATACATTTAAAAAAAAATCTTGTCTATGGCACTATTTTGAATTATTACCTAAGAATAAGGACTTTTTTTACTATTACTGTTATAAATAAATTATAAATAGCGTAAAGAGTATTATATTGCTTGTACCAACTTATACTACAAAGTTATTGTAAACAACTAGTTAGTTATGGGAATAGGTCTGTTAAAGTATGCGGATACATTACAAATCTATAATATAGTCTATATATATATCTGCGTGCGGCTGCTCCGTGTTTAGTCAGTCGATCATATGCGTAGGTCGAATTTTATTATTACTATTATTTGTTAATATTAGTATTATTTATTTCTATTATTATTTATAGTACTTTTATATAATAAATCTATGCTATACTACGCATAGAGTCCATCATAATATCAACGTAGATAAATAGTAAAATGATTTATCCTCCATAATGATATAGGTACCACAGATTATAGAACACCTAAAAAAAAAAGGTACCTTTGTCAGACTACCGACGATATAAATGCGGATTTAGCTACCTAAATAAATAATTCTTACATTGGCACATTGTGATTACATAGTTACCGATTAAAAATAATTGTATTGCATAGAATAATTGCTTTCTAATCACTAAATGATTTATTCATATTAGTACCACGTCACTGACAAACTGCTAATGTCGAAGCTGATTTGGCAGTAGTATGAGTAAAATAATTTCTAATTATTTTTACGTTTTGTAGTGTATATATTTAAATATGTACATAGCTATAAAAAAGCATTACTCTTTTTATATGGTAGTTATAATACATGAAGGGCATAGATAATAGTTTTTTGCCCTAATGTGTCCCGTATCTATGTCCATTCCCAATCGCTACTTATTTGTTGTTCTGGTGTCAAGTAATGCAACTGTGCATGCGTGAAGATGAATTTATATCTATATATGTAATTGAGTATTTGTTTAAAATATACAAGTGAATTTGAAAATTATGTAGCCATCAGTCATCATAGAAAATAAAATCATACGGGGAAGAAAAAAGAATATTAATTTAAAAAAACGAAATCCATTCATAATTGCAGATGTTCATAGTTTATAGGGTCTCATCTGTCTCATTTTTTTTCATCGCAGTAATGATCAGTTGAACAATACAGAGCATGACATTTATTTTACTAATAATACCACATTTTTTGATACAACATTGTAATTTATTTTAAAGATATCTTGTTTTAGTAATATAAAACATGTTGTTTACTGAATCTTGTACTATTGTAATATAGCGAAACTGCACGATAATATGTATCTAATTGAAGGCATTGGTGTCGTAAGATACAGGCTAGGCCTAGTTTAGATATTAATATGCTGGGCATAATGTTACATATTATACACTTTGAAACTACTATAAACCCATGACTATATATTTTTATGTACAATAAATCTTTTCGATCGAATTGAAAAAATGTGACATTATATTTGTTTGTGCAACTTAGAATGGCAAACAAACTTACAACCTACCTGATGGAAAGCAGTAACCCTGGCTTATAAATATGAGCAGTACTATGGGCATAACACAGTATACTGTTTTACAAGATACCCTTCATGCGTTGCCATTCCTAAGGACTAAAGTGTTACCCTGTAATTTCACTGCCATATCTCATCCTTCAAACCGAAACAACTATACAAACACAATTGCTTAACGGCAGAAACATGAGAGGGACAATTTCTCTAGTTAAAAAAAATACAGACTATAGAAGTATAACACATCAGTCTTTAAGAATGATGATATATTCATACACTGATCGTGGTAAAACCAATTATTTTGATTTAAAACATTAAATTATTGAACCAATGTAAAAAATAATCTATGTTCTTGAAAAAAAATCTGAATTGGTTTGTAAATTCTGAGATAACAAACATAAAAAAATATTAATATTAAATATTGCATAACATTTTTAAAGATATTTGGTTTAAAAAAATATTAATTTTACAACATTTTTCAGTACACAATATGTACAAACTATATACATGTGTACTGAAATTAAATAAATTATTGTTAACTTTTAATTGTTAAATAAAATTCTTTAAAAGCTTTGAGTTTGAATTTACTTATCAATGTCGATAAATCATTTAACTATAGAATGTTTAATGTACAGCACTGTTCCATGGTCACGCTTACATTTCACGTACCCAAATGTAATCACTTTTACGTTTCGTTTTTTGTGATTCTATTTCCAGTCTGTTATTATGTAAGTTATACTAAGTTTATGATTTAAGATATAAATGTTTACAGCGTAAATACATAAAAAATGTACAGTTTTGTAGTTTTTTTTCCGATTTAAGTTATATTTAAGTACAACACATTTAATTCTAACCAACTATATTCACTTAAAAAGAATTACACTCAAAATTTTAAAATAATAAGATTTTATTTTATTAATACTCCCATATTAGTTTTGGGCATATATTATGTAAATTATGCCCTGTTTTTCTATCTCACAGTAACATATATGTTATTATGTTTTCTCTCTTTTACATTGCCAATCTATATATTTAAGATTTAAATACACTGTATATAATTCAAGATTTACATAAATACACTTGTTTTTTTTTTGCCAGCGCCATTTGTAATCAAGTGATAATAGATAGAACCAATAAAAATAATTCCTTAAATGCATAATCCTCAATCTACGCTTAAATGCGCTGCAGAGACAGCACAAATGTTTGCTCTAATTTATTTTAGGTAATGTAAAACCACAAATATAATGTCTGTGTGTAACACATCTCAAAAATGATATCCGACAGCAAAAATCAAAGAATACTCGACTACCACAGCTATAAAATCAAAGACAGCATAAACGCTTCTGGAGCTATTCTTAACACAGATAATGATTTAAATATTAGTAGGTATAACGCAGAACGATTGCTGCATAATTACTAAATGTGTTAAATATACTTCGACTTTTTCGACAAACTGCGCTATTTGGTATCTTTCTTTTTTTTACAACTTAGAATGGCAAACAAGCTGACGGCCCACTTGATAGAAAGTGGTAACCGTCGCCTATAGACATGAGCAGTATCATGGACATAACAGAGTATACTGTTTCGCCCATGATACCCCCCATGCGTTGCCATTCCTGAGGACTCGGGTGTTATTCCTCTGTACCCAGTAAATTCACGCCATATCCCACCCTTCAAACCGAAACACAGTCATGCAAACACAGCTGCTTCACGGTTGAAACACGAATGGGACAGAGATACCCAAGCAATCGACTTTTGTACAAAGTCTCCCTCTAGTATCCCTATGGTATCTAATGGCAAAAACCAAAACTAAAAATATAACTTAACATAAATTACTAAATCGCTCTGCATGCAAAGTCAACACCAACGTACTATAATCTTATTACAGGACCCCATTACGTAGGGAGGGAAAACAGAGAATATCAATGTTACTAAATTATATATTTTATTTTTAACTGTTGTCCCTTAACTGCCTAATGCTGAACAAAAGCCTTCTCAAAACGAGGATTTTGCTAATGATTGCCACGCTTGATAATGTTGTTCCCTTAGTTTAAAATATTTACTGCTGCCATCGCTCGATCATTAAGTTCCCTTAGTTGCCTCTTACCATGGGAAAAAAAGGGGTGGTCTATTCTATATTGGCACCACACATCATCATATAATAATAATGCTTTAGTACAAATTAATTACGATGGTTTCCAGAGGAAACCATGTGAAGACCGACCTGAGAGAGAATATTGCTCGCAATGAACATAACCCTCCCAAACAATACCTTCCCCCTAAGTGGAATGGTAATCCCGAGTGCACTAACGGTATATGCTGGCAGGGCACCAAAGATAGATGAAAAAGCAGGTCTGCTGCCCTGTCGTGACAAATTCATGAAAAATTAATCATGATTATTTCCAGGGGGACTGCATGAAGATCGACCTGATATTTTGGTATCACAATATAAAGAACTACTTTTATACACTGATTTTAATTATACTTATTGCTTCGGTCGTAGGTATTTTTCTGTCTTGTATTCTTTTATCTGTAACTTTTGAGAGGAAGTGGGGCCGGCGAGGTCCGAGCTGCATTACTTTTACTCGGTACTTACTAAAGGTTACATTCATTAATATTTTATACTAATACTAATTTATTATTATTATTTTTGGATATTTTTAGTAATCGAATCCAGCTTTTTTATATTGAATTATATGGATAGTGTATAAACACTATTTTTGATTAATTTGGATTTGGTGATCCAAAAAAATTATGATATTGATTAACAAAAAAGACGGCAGATGTCAATATATTTTTTATTTTGTAGTGTGTTTTGAGTAATTTAATGCAAGTTTGGCCCAGTATTGTCAAGTTGTTATCATATTTATTTTCAATCAACTTTAATAGCAGAAGATTAAAATTTAAGTTAGCTAATTTGGTTTTAAGCTCCTATTAAAAGAGAATAAACTTAACAAATTTGGACTTAATTAAGACCGAATATATGGAACCAAAGTGGCCAAACTATATGAACCTCGATTTAAGCGATGATACTGTACTAAACTTGGCTTGACTTGGCTAAACTCACCCAAGTTCAATCAAACTTAATCTAACTGTGCCAACTTCGATTTAAATGTATAAATTTAGCTCAATTTGAAAAACTTAGCCAAAATGGGTCAAACTTCCAAAGATAAACTATTCAAATTTAGTCAAGTTTGTCCAAAGTTACCTGGACTCGACACTGGACTCAATTCGACTGAACTTAATTAAACTGACTTACTGATTTGGTCGTGTCGAGTCGCGTAGTACTTAGAATTTAGAATTTAATATTTAAATTAATTTAGAATTTGGAATTTCAAATTCAGAATTAAAAAAATCTAAAGTAGTCAAATTCACAACACAAAAATATACAGAAAAAAAAATTCCATGTCTAAGTATTTGAAGTAATATATTATATGTTAATAATAAGAATAATGTGACAACCCTCGCGACGAAAGTGGCGTGAC